ATAGATAGAGCAGCAGCATGTGGGGGCTGGTCTGACCAACCACACAGGGTATGTCTACACTGCAAATAAAAACCTGCAGCTGTCCCATGCCAGCTGACTCAGGCTCCCAGGGCTCAGGCTGTGAAGCTGTTTAATTACAGTGTAGACCTCCTGTGCTTGGACTGCAGCCTGAGCTCTGGGACTTCCCACTTTGCAGGGTCCGAAAGTCCAGGCTGAGCCCAGAAGTCTACCCTGCAATTAAACAGCTTTGCAGCCCAAGCACCAGGAGCCTGAGTCAGCTGGCACGGGCCTGCCGCAGGCATCTAATTGCAGAGTAGACCTACTCACAGAGCTGGAAAGAAAGAGGGCCAGCCAAAGCAGTTACACGTGCATGGCCATGAGGGTGCTATCTCCACAGCAAAATAATAGGTTTAGACTGGCACGTGATTGTCTTCCTATCTCAAGGGTGAAACAGGGCAACTGCCACAGTTTCTAACAATGTTCACTACACTGTGTGTAGACACACACCACGTTACGCTAACAGGTTACACGCTTGTTAAAAGTTGTCGACAAGGTCTAAAACGGGAAATTGGTGCTTAATGCCCTATAACAGTTCAGTTATAAAATGTGTGGAGGCTAAACATCTGAAGGCCAGTGTATCTGAAATAACTAGGGCTGTCGATTAATTGAAGTTAACTCACGCGATTAACTAAAAAAAAAATTAATCACTATTATAAAAATTAATTGTGATTAATCGTGGTTTTAATCGCACTGTTAAACAATAGAATACCAATTGAAATTTATTAAATATTTTGGATGTTTTTCTACATTTTCATATATTCTGTATTCTGTGTTATAATTGAAATCAGTGTATATTATTTTTGATTACAAATATTTGCACTGTAAAAATGATAAACAAAAGAAATAGTATTTTTCAGTTCACCTCATACAAGTACTGTAGTGCAATCTTTGTTGTTAAAGTGCAACTTACAAATGTAGATTTTTGTTTTGTTACATAACTGCACTCAAAACCAAAACAATGTAAAACTTCAGAGCCTACAAATACACTCAGTCTTACTTCTTGTTCAGCCAATCACTAAGACAAACAAGTTTGTTTACATTTACAGGAGATACTGCTGCCCTCTTCTTATTTACAATGTCACCAGAAAGTGAGAGCAGGCATTTGCATGGCACTTTTGTAGACGGCACTGCAAGGTATTTACGTGCCAGATATGCTAAACATTCATATGCCCCTTCATGCTTTGGCCACCATTCCAGAGGACATGCTTCCATGCTGATGACGCTCGTTTAAAAAAAATGTGTTAATTTAAATTTGTGACTGAACTCCTTGGGGGAGAATTGTATGTCCCCTACTCTATTTTACCCACGTTCTGCCATATATTTCATGTTATAGCAGTCTCAGATGATGACCCAGCACATGTTGTTGTTCATTTTAAGAACACTTTCACTGCAGATTTCACAAAACACAAAGAAGATACCAATATGAGATTTCTAAAAATAGCTACAGGACTCGACCCAAGATTTAAGAATCTGAAGTGCCTTCCAAAATTTGAGAGGGACGAGGTGTGGAACATGCTTTCAGATGTCTTAAAAGAGCAACACTGATGCGGAAACTACAAAACTCGAACCACCAAAAAAGAAAACCAACCTTCTGCTGGTGGCATCTGACTCCAATGATGAAAATGAACATGCGTCGGTCTGCACTGCTTTGGATGGTTATCGAGCAGAACCCATCATCAGCATAGACGCATGTCCCCTGGAATGGTGATTGAAGCATGAAGGGACATATGAATCTTTACCACATCTGGCATGTAAATATCTTGGGACGCCGGCTACAATAGTACCATGAGAACGCCTGTTCTCACTTTAAGGTGACATTGTAAAAAAAGAAGCGGGCAGCATTATCTCCTGCAAATGTAAACAAATTTGTTTGTCTGAGCGATTGGCTGAACAAGAAGTAGGACTGAGTGGATTTGGCTCTAAAATTTTACATTGTTTTATTTTTGAATGCAGGTTTTTTTGGTACATAATTCTATATTTGTAAGTTCATTTTCATGATAAAGAGATTGCACTACAGTACTTGTATTAGGTGAATTGAAAAATGCTATTTTTTTTTTACAGTGCAAATACTTGTAATACAAATAAATACGAAGTGAGCACTGTACACTTTATTCTGTGTTGTAATTGAAATCAATATATTTGAAAATGTAGAAAACATCCAAAATATTTAAATAAATGGTATTCTTCTCTTGTTTAACAATGCGATTAATTGTGATTATTTTTTTAATCACGCAATTAATCGCCATTAATGTTTTTAATCACTTGACAGCCTTAGAAATAACAGGTGCATATTGTGCAATATTATGTGCTTTGTGGAAATACCCCATTCATAGATCTACGCTAAGTGATAAAAGTTGTACTATGAGGCATCATTGTTAATTTTTAGTGAGTAAGAAAATTGTCTTAAGGGACCTTGTCAGATCAAATTTAGCCCAAAACATCTTGTTTTTTTTTAAAGCATCTAAAATAAAAGCTTTCCATTATTTTATTTAAGAAAGTGGCTTTAAGGATAAATTTTTGTATTGAGATGGATGCGAGTATCCAAATGGCAGGAGGGAATGTTGGTGAGGGAATGACCCATGTTAAGCCTCTTAGCATGCCTAGTGTGAAGTCAACAGGCGTTGCAGGTGTTTGGCTTTTCTGAAAATCAAACCACTTATTTAGGTGTCTAAATGTGTGTGTGAAGTTCAACAGTCAATTCTGAACATTTTGCCCCAAATGTGCCTTGTGTTGAAGAGCTCTGTACACACAGACGGGTTCTCTCTGTTGCCTCACTGTCCCTTATGAATAATAATTTCTCTGCATTTTACCTTCCTATTTACTATCATTTGCAACAGACTTTTTGTTAACTTGTAATTATTTGTATTGTCTCTATAGCAGCAGCTGAAGGACAAAGGAAAAACCTAAGTCCAGTGAGCCAAGGTTTACAAAAGTGACTGTTGATCCTGGGTGTTTCAATGACCCCTTTCAAGGTCAAAGTAGGTGCTCACAACTGTTTGAAAATTGGGCTCTTCTGAGGCATCTCAAGTTGGGACTCAAAAACTGAGACGCCACAATCAATCCCTTTTGGAAATCTTGGTCAAACTAGGAACACTCTTTTACTTGCATTAAATTTGTTAAAGATCTTGCACAGAATAGCTTTTGGGAGCCTGTCAAAACATTTCTATAACAGTGTAAATCTGCATTATAAAAGGTTTCCACAGATAGAACTATCGTCCTTACTTTTAGACTTTTTTTTTTTAAATTAAACAAAATTTCAGTTAAAAATCCTGTACTCCTTGTCAATCATTATTATAGGTCTGTTAGACTTTGCTTCCAGATTACTTATGTATCTGTTAGGCATTGGGAGCAGTCAGGTGCCTCAATGTTATTGCAGAGTCAGTTCTCTTGCATCACATAGGAGTTCTGCTGTCAATTTTAAAGTGAAGTGAGGTCCCGGGGAAGGTGTGCTGTCAATATTTGTTTTATTCCATTGGAATCGCCTCTACTGGCAAGAACTAGATTAATTGCCTCCTGCAGCGCTGAGTCCAACACTTGTTCATAGATGGAGAAACAGACACAAATTTTGTTTAAAAACCTGCTTTGCTGCCAATAGTAACTTTCTTCCCTTAAACATTTCTTATATTTAAATATCATTGAAAAGAACAGTAGGTTCTCAGCGACTGGCCTGCTGCCAATCAGACTGGGAGAGCCTCCCTGCTGTGGAGTCAGAATGGGCACCTCAGTCGGAAGTTTGGTTTAGAGGGTTTGGATACGGATCCCTATTGCTGCCCACAACTTCCAGTGTGGTTGCAACTATGGGCCTCCAACAAGGGCCCTAGCTCCTTTCTTTCAGCCCTCGCTTGGCTGTCCAGCAATGGACCTGGAAAAAAGTCACAGAATGTAAAGGTAACACAGGGGGAGCACCAGGCTTTGTCCTATGCTAATCCCTAGAACCAGAAATACAGCAGCACAGGAGTAAACACATCTTGGCGTGTGGATTAAAAATACATAGCTTTAATTAACCTAACCCCAGCAAGAAGGAAAGGGATATACAGCCAGATATACATCCTTTAACTGTGCGTGCCCCCCCCAAACAGAACCAATATTTCTTTATGAAACATTTTCTAAAACTATGCACAAAACCCAAGAATGAGTAGCCAATATCTAACAGGGTTGATTCTGGATAGCACTTGGATAGGGACAATCCTGCTTTGGCTCTCCAAAGCCCCCCCCAGTGTCTTGAAGACTCTGTGTTCAGGCCCAGCAAGCTCTGAGGACCTCTCTTCTTGGGCTTCTTACAGCAAATTCAAACTGTTCCTGCTCAGCGTGCATAGTATTTTAAGGCAGCTGCTCTCAAACTGTGGCCCAGCGGAGGTCACGTGGTGTTTGCTGCTTTTTATAGGCATCTAGAATCTTCATTGCAAAGAAAATTCTACACACCATTAGAGCAGCCGTGGCTACTGATCTATAGGCGGAGAAGAAGCAGGAATCGTGGCTGGGACCATAGCTGCCAGCCCCCCGTGGAAGCTGCCAAAGGGACCAGAGTTGCCTGCATGTCTATGTCCAAGGATGTTCAAGTCCATAGTGATTAACTATGATTATACAGTGCCTAGCACAAAAGAGTCCTAATCCTGGTTGGGGCTTTTGGGTGATACCCAATACTGAGCAACAGGTGTGGTTCCCCCTCCCCCCCCCATCCATATCTCCCTAGTCATATAAGATTAGATGCATGGGAAATAGGGGCGATATCAGCAGACTTATCCAGGGGCCTGGTCTTGTGTTCCTATGCCTCTAACCACTTCTGGGACTTTGGGATGCTTAAAATGCAGGATCAACCCTGGAATAGAATGTTGTTTTAATAAGGCTAAAGTGGTGGTTGTTGGTATCAACCAGTTTCTAGTTTTAAGGAGTGGATATATTCACTGAGTTTCCCTTCTAACTGTGATGTGCCTCTTCAGTTTAACCTGGTGTGTGAGGACTCCTGGAAGGTGGATCTCTTTCAGTCCTGTGTGAACGCTGGCTTTTTTTTGGGATCAGTATGCGTCGGCTACATAGCAGACAGGTACGTGTGGGATATTAAAACATAGCTGATATCCCTAATCAATGTTTATCAGTTAAAAATAAACAAATGTCGAGGCAAATCCATCTGACTAACAGCATGCTCATGCGCCTTTCAATGAATGAACACTCCTAAGTCTCTCAGTCTTAGAAAAACGTATCAAAGACTCTGAGATTTCTATGGGTTTTTGTAGCTGCAGATCTTTCCTGATCCTGCAAGTTTCCTCCCTGCAGTGCTCATGTGCTCTTCAGTATATTTTACAGTGATAATGTGCAAAAAACCCAGACACCCTATATGAACATATTGATTTTTAACAAAAGTCAGGAAACTCTGAGTTGGAGTTGTCATTCTGTCTTTCTGTGGTATGAATTGCAATTTTGATATGAAAACATCCTGTTTCCTTTTGTTAAAGGTTTGCTTATCAAGTAGTAATACAGTCGGAGATTGCCAAATAGATACTCGTGTCTCTCATTTGCATTGATACTGTGATTTTCATAACCGCAGCACTGTGTTCAGAACTAGGGTATGAAGTCATTGTAGACTCCCATTGAGATTAAGGATATACCACTGGCTCTGGGCACAGGAAGGGCACGTTGTGTTATAAACCATTAGAACAATTTTTCCAGTCACTGGAAAAAGATGTGCTCGCATTCCTAACAATGTATTCCCCTCCACCCATCCCTCCGCTCCCCCTCCAAATTGCTTTGCATTGCAAGCTCTGCAGGCCTCATTATGTAAGTTCTCTACATGTGAAACTTCGATTCGTATCAATGGAAGATCTGAACATGCATGGTTTGAGGATTGGGCTCTTTGTATGTAAATTAGTTACTCCTAATCCTCACATTACATAGGCACTTCAAAAGAAACTGCAGAGTAATTATATTCATCTGCAGGTATCTTTCCTCCATACTTAATAACACAGACTGTAATTCCAAAAATAGACAGGAAGGGATACCTTTATCATCTATATGTATTAATGTGGGCCTATTGCTCACCTATCATTTGGGATACTTGGTTTCATCCAAACTGCTCAAAAGCATTTATGGAATTACAAAGCAATGGAGAAGTTAACCCAATTGGTAGGTGAGCACTAGGCCCCCATTAACACCATATAAATGTAGTTCTATAATATTAATGTGGGCCTATCCTCCCAATTGATAAATGTTTGGCTTTTCTAAATGCTACATGAAGTTTTTAACAGTTTACTTTGGTGTGTGTCTGTATTTTGATCTTGTACTTGTACTTGTAATTCTTTTCCCATGCAGATTTGGCCGTAAACTTTGCCTTATAGTGACAATCCTTCTAAGTGCCACCTCTGGAGTTCTTGTGGCCTTCGCACCAAGCTACCTTTGGATGGTGATCTTTCGCTTCCTACAAGGACTGGTCAGCAAGGGCAGCTGGACAGCAGGCTACATCCTGAGTAAGACTGGTGCTTTCCCTGGGAGTAATATTGGTAATGGGAGATGAAGGGAAAACTAGCAATTCATTGGACTAAATGTGAACTGGGAAGCAGAAAAGGGCCCTTTGCTGCTTTTTGAAAGTATATATAAGACTTGTTCAGAGATTGTTATTAGCTTACATTAGAGAGATCAGTTTTTCTTCCCTCAGATCCCGATGTCTTTGGAAGATCAGAATAGTGATGTCAAATGAGGCTGTTACCTGAGATGCAGTTCCCATTCCCCAGTACGCAAGAGAGGGAAGGGTGCAGCAGCTTGGTGTGACATCACTATTTAGGCTCCAGTGTGCTCTCAACAGAGTGAAAGGAGGAGGTGATAGAGGACTGTGAGGAAACAAACAACGTTGAGGAATCTTTATACATAAAGGAGCAGTAAATGGCAAGCCCAGGCTTTACATCTTAAACAATAACTCAAGTACAGTAGATTCCTACCAAGAAAAAGGCAGAAGTTGTTTTGGCGCTCTTTGATAGTGCACGCTCATTTGAATGGAAAATATATCCGAGGGTGGGAAGGCAATAGGGAGGTTAACTCATCGCTGGGTCCTAGGCAAACATACACTTCTGGGCCCCAACGTCTAATGTGAATCACAGCAAACAGTGGTAAGGTACACTCCCCAAGGCCATGCTGTGGATCTGCTGGACCGGCTGCTTGTCCTGCTGCTGCTTGTGGCACTACTCACCAGGACGGGGGTGGATGGGCCAAACCTGAGCAGTGCTGCAACCCCATGCACCAGGTTGCAATGCCACCCACTCAAATGAATGGGCAGGTCTACATTAGAAGAGCTACATTGGCGCATCTGGGGAAGATGCTGTATTCCGACAGGAGAGCATTCTCCAGGCGGCATAATTACTCCACCTCTGTGAGAGGCAGAAGTTGTGTCAGTGGGAGAGTGTCTCCTGCCAATATAGCGCCAGTGTAGACAGCGCTTAGGTCCATCTAACTTGCGTTGCTCAGGGGGGTATCTTTCTTACACTTCTGAGCAGGGCCAGCTCTAACTTTTTTTGCCGCCCCAAGCAAAAAAAAAGAGGGCCACCCTGCCGTAACCCCCCCCCCCCCGCGAGCGCCGCCCTGCCCCCCCACGAGTGCTGCGCCGCCCGAAGCCCCGCCCCCCCGCGAGCACCGCCCGGCGGAAACAAAAACAAACCCTCCAGCGCTGCCCTGCCGAACCAAAAAACCCAAACAAACCCGAGCACTGCCCCGCCCCAAGGTGCCGCCCCAAGCATGTGCTTGGTCAGCTGGTGCCTGGAGCCGGCCCTGCTCCTGAGTGACATAAGTTAGATTGACTTTAGCGGTAGTGTAGACCTGCCCAGTGAATTTTTTTCAGTTTGTGCAAAAATCTGCATTGGTTAAAAAAACCCCATCACCTCCTCCCCAAATTTGGGCTCTGGGCATATGCCTCGTTTGCCTATGTGTTAATCCAGCCCTGCTCAAATAGTGATGGTGTCACTCTGATTATATCACTCTACACTGATCCAGCATTAGTTTGTTTGTTTACATGGTCTGTTAAATGTAGTTCGCTGTTGCCCAAGGTGCTAAAGGTGCCATTAGGGATCCCTTAAGTGTTGCAGAATTTAGGTTTTGTTTTTAAAATATAAGCTTTTCTCCTTTTATGCTTGCAAAGAAAATCTTCCAAATGCTACATGGCTTAGCATTGTCTGTCTTCCTGAATCTGTAAAGTGGACCTTTTTTAAACAATAGCTCTGAGTGGTGTGAACTGCCTCATTCACATCAGTGGAGTGTTAACTCTGAAGATGACAAAAACTGAAATGCCAACCTTTTAAACTATTATACTGCTAAACATTGTAGCAGAAACATCGAGCTATTGTAGTTATCCAGAAGTTTGAGATGAAGAAAACCTAATGTATCAACCAGTCCATTCTGTGCATATATAAATTTTCATTCTAGTGATTTGAGTATTAAATCCACTATTGGAACAGCTGCCCCCACCACTTCACATCAGTCAAACAATGAAGGATTATTACCTCCTTGCACAATATGATCCTTCAGTTCTACATTATGGGAACTTTATTTACGATAGTGTTGTATTGTACAGTAAAATATTTCATATGTAAATTTTGGTGATCCTGTTTCACTTAAGCGTGGAATGCCATAACAGAGAATAAGATTTAAGCACAGTACAGTCAGGAAGAACATAATTACTGACCTCAATGATCTAATAAAAATAAAATTTAATAAGCAAATTAAGCTTGGTCTACAAGTATCAAAGGATTTGTATTAAGATTTTATGCAAAAATCTAGAATTAAGGAATATTCTTGAGGGAATTGGTGGTTGCCTCCAGACTCCCTGAAAAGAATCTACGCCTCCTGAAATGCTTGAAATCCCTTGTTTCTGGAGTAGGGTTTCTTGGTTCTTCCATCTCTAAAATGATCCATCAGTTTTCCTTCTGTTTTTGAACAGTCACTTGTATTATATACATTTCAGTCACAGAAGTTGTTGGCCCAAGCCATAGGAAGACAGTGGGAATTCTCTATCAAGTGGCCTTTACAGTTGGACTTCTCCTGCTCGATGGTGTTGCTTATGCTATTCCTCACTGGAGATGGTTGCAGCTTACTGTTACTCTACCATGCTTCCTCCTCTTGCTCTATTACTGGTAAGCACTTTCATATACCTTAACAGAGGATTTAAAATTCTATTTCCCTTCACCCAAGAGAGATGATCAAGAGCTGTAGGAGAATGTCGTATACTGTTTGCATGCACATTACTCTGGTTAATGCAAACAGAAGATCTACACCAACAAAGAGTAGGAATAGTCTCCTTTAATGTTCAATCCTTGGTTGTATTATAGCATGCACATCTTGTCAAATATATTCTTAGGAATCAAACTTCTGTTATGTTATGCTGTGAGTGGATTATTTTTTAAAAGAAAATTGGATGTAAAGTAATTTGACACAAGGAATTGAATTTTATGTATGCATCAATTGAACATTTGTTTAAAGGGAAATTTATTAAATAATTTAGGGCCATAATTTGACTGACATCACCTTGAAATGGGGGTTAATTAGTGGTGATTGTCCAATGGCTAAGTATTTTTATTTAAAGTGGTTTGCTGCACAGAATTTTTTTAAAATTATACTATATTTTGTGGCACAACCAAAAGTAATAGGTTCCTCCTTTAGTAGATCATTTTGATGTATTGTTTCAAAGAATTAACTTGTATCATTTTGATTTCACTCTTTTCTTTTTATGAGCACTTGGGTTGTGAAGAGTTGTCTGCCCGGAGTGGGGATTAGGGAGGATAGAGTTTTGTTTTCTTCCTTTATCTATTTTTGTGAGTTTTATTTGACATGAGTAAATGGAGTGAGAGTTCCAGTGCTTTTAGAGGGGTGGGTCGGTCTGTCTGTCGATGGTATAGTTGGAAAATGGCTCCTCATGAGGAGTCATCAGATGGGTAAATTGATTGGGCGAGTGCTATGCATGTTCTTATTGCAAGGTTTTCATATTATTTATTGTTTTATCATGAGTGTGTTCATCTCCAGTAAAACTGAGCTACTGCCAAGGCTCCTCCTCCAACTTCATCTTGCAGCACGGCAAACTGTTCTTTTCTTGAAAAGCTGAAAGTAGTGTCACTGTGTTCAACCGAAGTACTGTCTCCATAGCCTGGGTTCAGTGTGGATGCACCATTTTGTTTTCTGTATGGCAGTGTCTGCTTGCTTGAATTACAGGTGTCTGCCTGAGTCTCCAAGGTGGCTGATATCTCAGAAGCAAAATGACAAGGCCATGAAGATTGTGGACTATATTGCCAAAAAGAATGGGAAAAAGCTGCCTGCCCATTTTCAGGTGAGCTTGAGGTTTTATGCTTGTAGGTGAACATTATAAAAGTTTTTTGTATAATGCTTTCCACCTGAGGAGTTCTACATGCTGGTAAATATCAAAGTTAACCTCACAGTCCCAGCTGGATAGCTATCATTCCCCATTGTACAGATGAGGAAGCTGGTGCAAGGAGAGATTCAGACGCTTGCTCTATGTCATGCAGGAGGTTTGAAACAAGGCCAGGAATATACCCCAGGTGTCAGTGCTGTGCCAAGGTTCTTGTGTATTCCAGAGCTGAAACATTTTGCATTGCAATGCTGCTGATTCATGACCTGTTCAGCTAATACTAAAGAAAAAGGAAACTTTAGAATCCTGGAGAAATTACTTAGGAAACACCAGATCAAATAGTTAAGGAACGACTAAAACTGTTGAAGTTAAAGAATTCCCTCATTATCATTGTGATCCTTCTCCTCCATATCCCATGCAATAATCACAATGGAATGGTGCATTTCCCAGGAAGCTCTTACGTATTGTATTAAGTAACATATCTAATATATGACTACAGTATGTCACGAGCCCCTCCCTTCCTGTTTGCTTTAACATGATAAATTTCTCTCACCCAGTTTAGCCCTTAATTAACAATGCACTGGTTCTTCTGTAGAATATTAACCTTGAAGAGGAAGATGGGGAAAATCTGAGTCCTTCATTTATGGACCTTGTCAGGACACCTCAGATGCGGAAACACACATTCATTTTGATGTATATCTGGTAAAAAGTCTTAAGACAACTTTAATTTTTTTTTATTACAAAGCATTAAAGTTCCAGTTTTGTCTTACCCCCATTTCCTGCACTCAGAACTCAGTTTTTTCATGCTCCAGACTTTCTTCCTCCTTTGTCTTCCTGTACTGCTGGGGAGGTTTCTCAGTTACTCTCAATCCTGTCAGGGGAGATCACTGGAATAGTACGAGCTAGCGTTCTTAACTGTGGTTTTAGTTTAGCTCCATTGCCATGATGACCTCATGTGTCTAGTCACCAATGGATGAATTATGGGGCCACATGAGGACTTCTCTACACACAGAGAAGTTACACTTGTTCCCCACTCCATCAGTTTAAGAGCAAATTATGTCTATGTAGACAAGTGCTTCAGTCAACTGTAACGAGGCAAAAACTGGTCTCAATTACCCCCAAAGTGGATAGGGGTAAGAACTGTGGTAGCCTAAATTGGTGCAGGCTCAACCAGTTGGGTAACTGTTGGCTGCAACACATTGGCACAACTGACTTAATGTCAGGTCTGATAGTTGCGCCCTATCCCCCCAGTGTGACCCCCCCCCACAGTATCTGCTGTACCCAGAGATGTCTCCCTATCCCAGGCCTGACTTTAGCAGGGGATGGGGAGATATTGGGGAAAGTGTGATGGAGGGAGTTGCTGTGAAGGGGGAGGTAACCAAGGAATACCATGCGGGACGGGTCCCTCATCTGAGGACTGAGGTTCACTGGCTGAAGGAGCCATCCTCACCTGAATCAATGTAAAGCAGCCGTGGTGTGGACACATTCAATTGATGGTGGAACTACTGATGTAAAGAAATCGACTTGCAATACTGATTTCTCTAGTATAGACAAAGCCAAAGTGACGCCATCGGCTTTGCCTGTAGCCCATTGTCACCAATCAGCTTCTAGGAATCTCTGTAGATCTGCTGCTGCTGATCCCTAAGCACAGACAAATCCGTGTTGCCATGACAGAATTTCCTAGTCTTAGAGCTTGTTTATGTGGTGTGCCACTGTGCAGCAAGCCAGGGTGGGACACTACAGTGCACCAGCTTTCCATGCAGTAATTCGCCATGTGGACATTGCTACAGCACAGTAAAAGACTTGCACTAAGCCACGCTCTTGGCCTTTCAGCACACTGTAGTAGTTCCCTGCGGGACATTACTGCATGGCAAGCTGAAGTGCTGTAGATTCACACCCTGGGTCTCCACACAGTAACTCGCCATGTGGACAAGCTCTTAGCATCTTCCTTATATGAAACACTTGTAGGTAAATTTATCTTTTGAGGCAAGATGAGAATGTTAATACAAGCATTTGACCAGGAGAGTTTGCCTACCTTCTGAACTCACTCCCTAGATGCATGGTAAATTTTTTCCTCAACTAAGAGCTCTTTTCAACCATCCGAGCTGTTAAGAGGAGTTATTTAGAAAACGCATTGCTCGTCCAACTGCCCATCTGAGTCTCCATTATGTCTGATGGTGAGGATGCAGAGGGCAGAATGGGCACTTGACAAAGGACTATTCCTTCAGTGATCATAAGCCCATAATTGTAACTCAGAGCTAGAAGTATGAGTAGTCTGAAAGCTTTTTTAGCCTTAGTCTATGATACCATTAATATTTCCTACCCGATTTATATTCAGTACTTAGTTCCTGACCTACCGCATTATTTTATGGGCTGTAAACTCTACCTCTAGTTTCTGCTTTCCAGCATTAATCTCTACTGTTCTTCACTCAGGCTCTCAGGCTTTCGTCTACACTGTTGAGTAAATTAGAGCTGAAGTTGGTTTCATTGACCTAATTGTGGTTCAGAAGGTTTGTTTATATGCGTTCCAAGAGGAAACGGGGCTCTGTTCTTTGACTAAATCTCTTAAGAAGAATGGGCTCTGTTCTCTGCCTAGGTTGGCCAGCTCTCTTCTGTACCAGGGGCTCATCATGCACATGGCAATGGCTGGTGGGAACATGTATCTGGATTTCTTCTATTCTGCCCTTGTTGAATTTCCAGCTGCCTTCATTATCCTTCTCACAATCAATCGCATTGGCCGTCGCTATCCCTGGGCTGTGGCAACTCTGGTGGCAGGGGCTGCCTGTCTCATTATGGCTTTAATCCCTGAGGGTGAGTAGTCAGAGGTTTCAGTAGTTTACCTTCTCAGTGTTACCTCCTGGGGACTCATTAATCTGTCTCGCTATAGTCTAGGTTTGAAAGTTTGCAAAAGCACGTCTGTGATTGTAGCCTGTGACCCTGACAGGTGCTGGAGACTTTCCTTGCACCCAGGGTTCCCACCTCTCAGAAATGAGATGGAGTAAATGAAAGTCTACATTTTTGCAGACATCAGAATTAATAGGAAATATCTTGGGGAAATAGGGTACTGTACATAACTTTGCAAATCACATTTAACAATAACCCACGTGGTGCTGATTGTTTTAATCTGCTGCTTTATGCAATTAAACAATAGCAGTTCCTTCAAACTAATACAATTCAAGTAATACAGGATTATTGGTTTCCACTAAAAATAACATTTTTTCATTAGATAACCCCTGCCCACCCAATCACTGTTGGCCCAAAAAACCTCCAGAAAACATTGTAAGTGAAATAACTGTTTCCTTTGCAGATATTCACTGGCTAAAAGTGACTGTAGTTTGCATTGGGAGAATGGGAATTACAATGTCTATCGAAATGGTTTGCTTTGTAAACACTGAACTGTACCCAACATTTTTGAGGTGAGTGCGTTGTCTGGGGCCAGCATGATGTGAAAGGCAGCTATTGAAACTGACAGATATGTTGTATTTTATATTGACTTAACGATTAGTACAGAAATGCTCCAGAATTATAGACCTATTGATATCTAAAGAACATTATGCAAATGGATCACTTAGAAAATTGAATAAGAGACAAGTTAATGCAGGAACAGAATATTCCTATACAACTTCTCCCTATATTGTACTGCAAATGGAACGTGCAGAGCTGGATTAAAGCAAGATTATTATCCTTCAAATCCAGAGGTCGAAAGGGGCTAGAGACAATAATGAATCAATGAGAAGTGGAGAGTCTATCAGGGGTCTGGGAGAGCAGGAAGATAGAAGTAGCATAAAAGAGTGTATCTGAGGAGGGGAGCAGAATTGAGGAGGACTGGGAAGAATCTGGGCTGGTTGACGTTTTGGAAGCCCCAATGTGTTGGTGGATTGGGGCACCTTTTGGTCTTAAAGGGAAGTGATGAATTCTCCATCCCTTGAAGTCTTCAAATCAAGACTGGATGCATTTCTGGAGATATTCTTTAGCCAAACACAAGTTACAGGGCTCAACACAGCAGTAACTGGATGAAATTTAAGAGCCAGTGATCTAGTGGTACTCATTGGCCTTAAAATCTATGAAACTATTAATCTACCCCTAAATGCTGGCTTTGTATAGCAGTTTTATAAGAGGATTTTAGGTACATGCATTCATCACTTAAAAAAAAAAAAAAAGACCCTGAAAGAATCTAAATTTAGCCCATATTATCTAGAAACTGCTAGATTCCCATACACTCATTTGAAACCTGTATAATGATCATTCTGCCTATAAGCTCTACTTAGGAAGCTACTGAAGGCTTTTTTTTTTCTTTTTTTTTTTTTTTTTGACATTTACATTAGGCGGACCTTTGAACATCTCCCTACATTGACAGTTATTTAAAATAATGTAGCTAATATTTTCAAAGTTCTGTTCTATCTGATGGGAGGTTCTAATCGGACACTCTGAGCCTGATTCTCTACTACGTTGAAGTTTATTATTCATCGTGTTTATTACAGTAGTGCTTAAGGGCCAATCAAGAGTAGAGCCCAGTGTGCTAGGCACTCTACAAACACAGGTCCCTGCCCTGAAAAGTTTACGATTTAAACAGAGAGGATAGAAACAGTGGGTGGGAGGGGTAACTTCATGATATTTTTATGTTGGGGAGGATCAGCTAAATGGGAAGGGAAGAGGGGGGGAGGGAGGGCAGAATGGATCAGAAGAAAGTAAGGAGGGGCAGGTGTGGAGTGAAACTGAGACACAGACAGGGATGGGGAGGGTTGGTGTAGACAGCCAATCAGCACAAGGCAGAGAGCCCACACGAAACTGTAGAAAGTTCTCTGAATTTCAGGGAATCACTTACTCACACTTATGCAAAATAGGAGTAAACCTTCCCATGGCTATTTGGTAGGGTTATAATCTCATGCTACACAGGTGTGAATGACTTCATGAGGAGCAAGGCAGGAGAGAATCAGGACTTGTGATTCTATTTTGGTATTTTATTATAGTTAGGCTACTGAGACCGCAGCGTATCATGCTGACCAATAGTCTCATTGTTTCCTTGTACTCCCCCCATCTGTTGTCTCGTGTCTAACGCTTAGATTGTAAACTCTTTGGGGCAGGGACGTTTGTTCTGTTTGTACAGTGTCTAGTGCAATAGAGTCCAGGTTCATGCCTGGGCTTTGAGGCACTGCAGTAATGCAAATAGTTAATCATCACAATTTTATGGCAGGATGTATTCTGTACCAGCTCAGTGTTTTGATCAACTCTGCTCCAGCTACAGAACTTTTTCAGACCAATATAATGCAATAATTGTTTTGCTGTTAAATCAGGAACCTTGGTGTAATGGTCTGCTCTTCCTTGTGTGACGTTGGTGGGATACTAGCCCCGTTCGTTGTCTATAGGCTGGCAGAGATCTGGCATGAGCTGCCACTTATAGTTTTTGGTAAGTATTTTCTTACTTTCTTGTGGAGTGTTCCTCAGGTGTATTAACCATGCCTCAATTGTCATGACAAACAAATCTGAGAAACTGATTTCAAATCTAGGAGAGAAAATATTTTTTCCCTTCACAAAACCTTCAACTCATGATAAACTAATAGTTCACTTCTGAGTTGTGTATGTAGTCAGAGTCCGCTTCCATATTATATTTATGGTTTCTTATGTGCCTTTTTTTAAAAAAAGCTGCGAACTAGCAAATGTTGCTTTGACAAGTCGAAGAGGATTGTGAAATTCACCAAAATTCGGATCACATTTAAGTTTGTTGACAATATTCATTTGAGTCATTTTCTTACTTCTGTGGTTTGATCTCTGTTTTGAGACAAGATGTTGTAATTTCAAATGGTGCCTGTCGGGTATATTTTATGGATTATTAAGGATGTTGCAGACTTCAGTCTTGTCAATATTTTCTTTTTTGGCTAGACAACCGTGTAATCATCTTTAAAAAAGGCTATAGACTAGTGAGTAACCTTCTTCAAAACAGGCTGAAACTTCCTGGAGATTAGTCAATCTAAACTTTAGGCCAGATACTACAAAATTCCAGTTTTAGGACTAGCGCATTATTGCGAGAAGACTATCTTTGAAGGCAATACATTATTTTTAATAAAGAGCATATTTATATTATTTACAAGGGACTTCATAATACATACATTTTAGACTGGGGCTTATGAAAGTTGGTAACCAGGAACTTAATGAGTGAGAGAGGAACTGTAATTTTGAAAATCTTGTTCTCATGGTGACAGAGAAATCCAGTACATTTCATCTCGTGTAAACATACCGACTGCCATTTGTCAAACATGCCTTTCCAACCTGATAGATACCATTACCGTACGTAGCTTATAATTAAACTTTACTACCTATAATTATCTCCGTAATGCTGCAGTGAGACCCCTGAAAAGCTGTGAACCTGCCTTGTGTGCAAAAATTCTGTATACTATATTTAGAGCAAAATTTGGCCCTTTATTGTTGTATGTTAAAAAAACAAAATCTCTTCTACAGACTTTGTTGTTTTAATTAAATTCAGCAATTACATTTGATGCCATCTGGCTGCAATAATATCCTATGATGTGTGTGGGTTCTAACTTGGTCTTCTTGTGTGTGTTTAATTTGAAGCTGTGGTTGGTTTAATTGCTGGTGGATTGGTGTTGTTGCTGCCTGAAACCAAAGGGAAAACGTTGCCTGAGACTATTGAAGATGTAGAAAACTTGCACAGGTGAGTCAGGTGGCACATTCAGATTGTTGGAGCTGTTCATGTTTTGAAAAAGAAAAGACTAACAGAAAAGCTACAGTGTAAATGTACATCCAGTGGCTGTCATTGAAATTATCGTGGCATTTGTGGCATAGTTACTGCAGTATACTTCTGAGTTCTAGGTATACGAATGCTATGTAGACGGTGGCAAAGCTCATTTTGCATTCAGAAGGTAACTGTAGTTGTATAATGGTGACCACTGTATTCCTGGTGTTCAATGGCCTTATGAAAAATGTTCAATTTTGACATCTCCAGCAGGTGCATCCATCCTGTCCCTCCTCCCAACACACCACAAAATCATGTGAAATTATTATTATTTTTTTGCACTTTTATTCTAATGATGATTTTTCTTAGGACTGAAAAGAAAAACAGGTAGATGGACATTGTGTTTTAAAAAAACAAAACAAAACAAAAAAACCTCCATGCTGTTTATGATAATTTCTTATTAAAGCTTATAACAAATAGTTCTACCCATATTTAATGTTTATAAATATTGTAAATATTAAAATAGTGTGATCTATCTACACGTGACTGATGGCAAGATTGTGACCTGGAATTTGCATTATGTACCCTCTCACTCCGTTGCAGTGGCTACACTGATCATGGGTAGCAGCACAGGAAGGAGAGCAGCCTCCATGGGGCTGTTGCATCCCAACCTGGTGCAAGTGGACTGGATGGAGTAGGGAGTAGGAGCCAGGGCTCTAGCCCTCGAATTTGGTGACGAGCGTAGTTATGCTGGCATGCCGGGGAAGGATGTTGTGCCAGGTATGGGTCTGGCACAGGGTATAGTGGGGGAAATGAGTAGGCAGGTTGTAACGCTGATCGTTTTACTCAAAACCTTTTCCTGCCCAGAGCTATTTTTGGGTTGGCTGACTACCTTCTCTGCCTCCAGAGCACAGCTTGTTAATTTAGGAACCTTCCGCCTTCAGTTTGTTGCACTGGGAAAACTCTACTTGCCAGGAAACTGAGAACAACAAACATGGGCCATTAGTTGGACTTTGGATAGTAACATCAGCCTCTCAAACTCATTGCATGACTGACTGAGCAAATGCTGTTTGGGCGGGTCGGGGGAGGTTTTTCCGCCCCCCCCCCCCTAGAATAGAAAAAGATGAGTCCTTGTTATCAGCCACTGAGTACAGTGATGTCAGGCAGCAATGTTTGTTGAGAGGGATAGCAAATGTCAGGAGGAATAGACAGCTCGTTTTCACAACGTCAGACGTGAGTGACCAGAAGTGCATATGAGGTTAGATGACCTTTGAACCCATGATGACATCTTAAGAATCAAATTAAATTTACTATACAAGGCACCGATATGAAGTAATAAATAGTATGTGGTAAAACTAATATCTGCCGTTTAGCCTATAAGCTATGCAATGCGCTATGTTATTGCTGAATGTGTCTCTTCATATAGGCAAAGTACCTTAGCAGTTACCTAAGCATATGCCTAATGTTAAGTACATGAGTAGTCACATTGCAATCGATGGGGCTACACACAGTCTAAAAGTTAGGCTTATGCTTGTGTACCTTAGATAAAGCATTAAGTCAACAGTTGGTAGTATGTGCTTGGTCATATAACAAGAACAAAAAAATTGCAGGATATTCATCTCAAGTGAATTACAAACTGTGATGTTGAAGTTGAAAATTTTACCCAACAGCCAATATGCTAATTCAAGCATCTAAGTGATTTAGGAGCATAAGACCCATTTTCAAAAGTGACTTAGGCACTTAAGAGCCAAATTCCAATTAGTCTTTTACTCCAAACTACCTAAATCACTTTTGAAAATGAGACTAAAACACTTCTGAAAATGTTACCATTTTATTTAGCTGGTCACTAGTGTTCTATGTTCCTGGTTATTCTTTGTTTCTGGGTATTGCATGCTCTTTTCTCACTTCATCATTGTCCTGATTCCCTTTTTGTTTTTGCTTCATCTTTGCAGGCAAGAAAATCCTAGGGAGAAAATTATCTACCTCCACGTGCAAACACAGGAAGTTGCACACTCCAAATGTGATCGGTCTTTGGCACAATAATACAAAGAGTTTTAAAATAACACACACCGTAGAACCTTGCTTCCTTTTATGCACCTCTGATCCCTGGTTCCACATACTTAAGGGTTTTTTCAACTTCATTGTCCAAAAGGCACAGCAAGCTACCAAGTACCTTCTTCCCTCTTACCATGTTATAGTATTTACATTTTAGAACAGTAGTTTTGAAACTTTTGGTTGCCAGTCACCGTAGACAACACACGTATCTGTTCAGATACTTGCACTGCCATCATCCCGGTAGTATCTGAGTACTTATTAATACAAAGATTACTTTAGGGTATGTCTACACTGCAACGAAACCCCAGGGTTAGTAGAACTTGAGTCAGCTGACCCATGTTAGAGCACTCTGGACTTGAAAGTCTACACTGGTTGATTATTAATCCTACATTAAGATTTTTCTGGGGTTGAACCTGGGCTCTGGCATCCACACTGCAGCACACTGACCCAAGTCAAACCAACCTCCTGAAATGTGGCCACTCTAGCCCTTTGACTGTGCACTGTGGGCAAACTTTACTGCCCACCCTGCATGCTACAGACAGTTTGAACGGCTCACCAACGCAACCTGCCGAGCAGTCATTTTGATCTTTGTGCTGCCAGCTACTGGAGCCAGCAAGATGGAGGAGGTGCCTTTTAACAAGCTTCTCCTTTTGCCTTTGCTCCTGTGTCAGGAAAGGGGCAGAGCTTTCATGAGGTGCTGGTGGATATTTCAGTGGTGTTTTCTGACCCACCAAAGGTACCTGATGGATGATGGGTTTCATGATGGAGCAGGAGGAGGCAGAGGAAGAAGAGTACCCTGGCTTGGCAGACCTACAGTGGCAAATGCTCCGCAGTATAATCAGCATATTTGTTGACGCCCCCTATGTATACTGGTGCTTCTGGCACAGCCTGGTGGGATCATATCGTTATGCAGAATGACCAGTAGTGGGTCTGGCTTGCTCCTACCCTCCAGTGTAGATGAGGGCACCCTTGCTGGTCCAGAAGCAGGTTGCTATAACCATCTGGAAGGTGGCTACCCCAGACTGCTACAGGTCTGTTGCCAACCAGTTTGGTGTTGGAAAGATGACTGTGAGTAAAGTGCCTCAGGAACCACCACCACCAATCAGGTGTGTGGTTTGCCCCAAGGTGGCGGGAACTAAAGATAATCCTGAGGTAATTGCTGGCTTTGAGAGAATGGAGGTTCCTAACTGCACTGAGGCCATTGACTAACCATTATCCAAGACCCCCCACAACTCCAGTTCAGTTTAGATTTCTGGTCTCAACTCTCACTACATCCCTTTGGAAGCCCCATTCATTTCCTCTTCCCATTCTAGTCTCCCTATTGGTCACTCCTTATTCATAGTGTGTCCTTCTCATTCCATCTGCACAGCAACCGCCTTCTCCATAAGCCTGATGGTCACTAGAAGTGAACCATTCAGATGCCTCTCCAGAGTGCCCCATCATCACAGTGTCTCTCTCAGATTCCAAGCACTTTGGGGCAGGGATGGTTTTCATTCTGAATCTTGTAGAGAGCGAAGCACACTACTGGCACTAAACAATTAACAATAATCCAGGTGAGAAGAGCTTGCAGCTGTGCCTGAAGATTCCTGCCAAACTCCTTCTGGGCCTGGTGGAATTTGTGGTGTAACCTTGTCCCAGAGGAATTGGCAATTGATGAAGTACAATGAGCTTGTTCTTGGTTTAGATTTGACTGAACTGCAATTAATTTTGAGATGTGTTATGAGTCCATCTAGGAGAGACCATGCCACCAACCTAACAAACCTGGTAACCCAGAAGTTTTCTAGTTTATTAATTTATCTAATGAGCACACGTAGAAAAGCTGTGTGCTGCAAACAAAATGGAAAAGACACGCAATGAGAACAGTTGAGTCTGAGAGGAATAAATCACTGAGTGCGAAGACCAAATGTAAAAATTTCTTCCAGGATTTGAATGTCTATAAATACAGCTGTGTTGTAATAAAAGCTGCATAGTACAGGTTCAGCATACCTAACTTCTTGGGGGTCACCTAGCAGTTCTAAGGATATTTACTTGCAGTGACAAGTGGCTTTATCTGCAGCATTGCTTTCCCAGCAAGCCTTTCCGGTCCAGGCTAGATTGTGACAAAATGACAGCTCTCATTAAGAATTCAATGGGTTTCTTTTGTGGCATTTTGGAATGTGACCTAAACCATCTGAAATTCCCCTTTAAGTGAACAATGAATTCAACGCCCTCTTCTTTAGTTACACTTGGAACTAGGATCCTGTTGCAGATATGCTGATTGCATTGGTGCTTTGAGCAGAATCGGGCCAGCGGTGTGCAGAACAATGAAGTGTGTATGTCAGGGTATATAGTGGTGTTGTAGCCATGTTGGTCCCAGGATATTAGAGATACAAGGTGAGTGAGGTAATATCTTTGATTGGACCAGCTTCTGTTGGTGAGAGAGAAGCTTTTGCATATTTTGAAAGGAGTATGTTCAAAGGGCTGGGAGATAGGCCTGGAATGTGAGAAGGAATGGGGGTAATCAAAAGCCCTAAACTGCAGAAGAAAGTAATATGGAGTAGGATAATATTGGAGTGAACAGTGAATGTGGGTAGACCTGGGTGGAGGAAAGTGGAGATGGCAGAAGGTCAGAGGCATGGAGATGGGCAAAGAAGAGAGCAGAATAAATGTGTGCTGCCTCATTCAGCGCTTCCAACCTCCAGTTACAAGCCCATTTTTTGTTGTTGTTCAGCTAGACTAACTGAAAACTAGATGCACGCAGGAAGCATTTGAATCTGTACTGGTACATTTCTTCATGCTGCATATTGTGAGTTGAAGCAGCCCTTCAGCCGTACTAGGAAGGCAATGGCTAAAATCCAGGCATCTCCCCCCACCCCCAATATCCGAATCCTGCACTTTTATCATTGCCAATCCCAGGATCTGGGGAAACTGGGTGCAAGAGCAAGAAGGAGGATGTTTGAATCTCTGTAACCTCCTCCCCAGGTGCTGGCTCTGGTGTGAATTCTTCTCTGGGTCTCCTAGCACTAGGGGGCAGCAGAGGCCAGGCTTCTTCAGTTCCCCTCCTAAAGGAGGAGGCAGAACAATTTGTCTCTGTTGTCCTCTGGGTAACGTGGGGAATGAAGAAGTGCTAGATACCTTCCCTGGGTCTCTTCTAGAAGCAGGGAATAAGCCAATTCCAGACTCATCTGGATTCCCACTCCTGACCTAATGCAAGGTGAAATCCTGGTGTAATGCAGCATGGCTGTAAGGCTGTGTGATTGCATCTGTGGGCCAGCCCCTACAAAGAGTCCAAGAACTCTACCGCTGCAGAGAGCTGATGATTATCCTGGAGCTAAATGCTGGAGACATTTGTCTAGTGATGATGTATGTGGATATGAACTCACTGTGGCAGGAGAAGCGGGGTTTGATTGGCGGGTGTGGCACGGATGATAGTCTTAAAAACAGTTATCTCCCATGCAGACAGGGACGCTCTGTTACAACATGGGGACTCTTCAGGTCTAGCGGCAGTCATGTTACTAAGTGAACACTAGCAGCATGTATACTCCAGTCCTATGGCAGGTACCAGTGCAAACATTAGATGGCTTCTAAAGACTCTCCTTGCCTTTATTTAAACTTTCTATTTGTTTTCTACAGGGGATGTTTTAAATGCTTTTAACATGGATGTGCTGGGCGGGGGCCTCATTTGCTCAAACTTTTTTGATGATGAAATATTTCTCTAATAGCTCTTTTCCTGAAGAACGGTAAGTTCCCGCCCACAGTGTGGGTGAAGAACAATGCTGGGTTTTTTGTTTTGTTTTTTTTTGGTCTGAGTCACACATCCCTTCCTTCGGGCCCAAATTGTGGCTCGGAGTTGGGAGCGATCAGAAGGGAAACACAAAGCCACAGATTAAATCACATGATCAGAACCATGTACAGAAGGAGAGCAATACTTGGCTTTACAGTATCAGGGTGTATGGGGGATCCTTCAGGCTCAGAAGCCCTACTGCCATTATTTTCCAACTAGAGATCTTTTGTGGCCCATCTCTCTCCTAGTCCTGATCTCACAGCTCCCCTGTGGTACCTATAGCGCAGGATTATGTGCAACAGTAATATTAGGAAAGTAATGAGGCTAGATGAGCATGAACTTTCTTTAATGCAATGGGAGCGGCTTCTTGGTACCATCCACCCATCCCCATTTGGTGTCTGTCTCTTCTCCTGAACCAGACGCCTTTACATTGGTCAGTAATGACTTGCCAGTTGTACTGCAGCCTGTCCTCTGCTCTGTTCTCTCCACTTTACACTTTGGTTCTGTGTATTCCTGTTTGCCCTCCAATTTTTGTATTCTCTGCATAGTTGATCCTGGCGAGATTTCTATCCAATAAAGGCTTGAAGATACCATGCAGGACTCGGAGAGCTGTTTATTTTTGTAATAGTTGGCCTACAAATAGCCTCTGGAAACCCTAGGGCCATGTCTACACTAGGGAGCTTACAGCAGTACTGTTGCAGCTGCACTGCTGTAAGATCGCTCATGTAGCCGCTCTATGCCGATGGGAGAGAGCTTTCCCGCCGCCATAATACAGCCACCTCTATGAGCAGCAGTAGCTATGGCAGCAGGAGATTGCACGCTGCCACTTATGCTGGTGAAATGTATGTCACTCGGGGGAGGGGTATGTTTTTTCACACCTCTGTGCGACATACATTTTGCCAGTGTAAGTGGTAGTGTAGCCATGGTCTGTGTTCTGGACTGAGCTATTGCTAGTAGCAATGATCAGTGGTCGAAGGCAGATGTGTGTCACAGATCCAACTCTGAGGAGGCTAACCAGTGGTCTGTTGTCCTAAGGATGTGTAGCAAGTATTAGAGCAGAATAAAGAAATGATGACAGTAGGTGGTTTATATCATATAAATGTTCTGTCCTTAGTCTATTAATGTGTCATCAAAGGCAGCCCCTGGGAGAAGCAGCTCTTTAACTTAATTAGGTGCAACTTCTGTTGTTAAAACATGCAGGTAAATCACTTCTTTTTTGCGCTTTCTTTGTCTGTGGAAACAAAACAGAAAAGGCAATTGGAAGGAATAAGAAAAGAACAGTTGCTACCCCAAGGAACAAAAAGAATGACCAGCTAAAAAGATGTGTATCTTCTACTCTGATTAAATTAAACGGAAAAACTAGTTTGTGGTTGGCAAATAAAAAAAAATGAATCTTTTAATTCTTTTCCAGACACAGAGGAACTAACCTGCAGAGGAATCAAATTGCTCTAAGGCCCCATTGCATTCTCTATTTCATAGCAAAATACTGGTCTTTTTTTATAAGGAACAACCAAGTGCTATTCATTTAAAGCACTGTAAGTTTGCACCAAGTTGTAAAGAATGTATTCAAACTATCCAACTAGGCTAGTACATCTTTTTCCACACTCCGCTGTGACTGCTTTGGAGTACATATTGTATGCAATTAAATATGGATTGGCAGAGAAAACTGTTTTAACAATGATTTGTGATACAAGCCAACAAAATGCAGGAATGCCAACTGAGGACTGACATGCAGCACAAATGCCAGAGTTATCAATAGTGTGTTGGCCTTTACTTTCTGATTTTCCTCCATTTTGCTGGTGTTACCACCAAACTTTTGTTTAATTTAAGCAGTATTTTGTGTTTGAGAGAAGAAATTCCCTAGGACGTTTTTATAAAGCAAAGATTTTTATCTAGAGTTCTGTCTGAGGAAAAAATGTTAGTAGAACGGAATTTTTGTTTTGTCTGTTATACAAAGTTTTAACAGGGTGATTTAACATTGGAACAAGTAGCCAAAGGTTGTGGTGGATTCTCCATCTCTTGAGGTCTTCAAGACTAGGTGCCTTTTCTGGAAGATCTGCTTTAGCCAAACACAAGTTACTGGGCTCAATACAGAAGTAATTGGATTAAATTCCATGGCCTCTGATACACAGGGCCTCAGACTTGATGATCTAATGGTCCCTTCTTGTCTTAGAATTTATGAAAAATAATCATGATTAAAAAGTAGCTCCAGCTACTGAGAAACTACTAACTTTATTTTCACATATATAGCTACACACACACACAGAGAGAGAGAGAGAGAGTTAAAAGAGCATTCAGGTTGCAAAGTTAACCACTCAAAATTTAGGAAATGCCAGGCTTAAATTTGCCTGTGGAACCTTAATTTGGCCCCTTGTGCCTATGCATTATGAGATTCTTTAATTACATGATCACATACTAATTTGTTTAGAGACGTTGTTATCCTTTATGTGGACAATCACTAGAAGGTGAGGAGTCACACACGTTGCCAGAGGTTTTACAGATATTTGCTGAGAGCGAAGGAATGGTGAGACTTGGGAATCTTGGGTTCCATTCCAGCCTCTGGAAGTCACAGCCTTTTCTGCCAATTCCTCCCTCCCTCCCCATGTGATCCCTTCAGCCTCCTATGCTCTAGCCTGCCCCATGCCAGTCCAATATGTTTCCCACCCTTGACTCCTTGCGCCAGTTCCATTCTCCTCACCTAGCTAATCTGAGTTTACATTCTTTAGGCTTCTCATCCAAGTTCCTGTCTGTGTGTGCCCAGTACATCCTAGTTTCACCTCTCCTGACCACCCCCTTGCCCAGCCAATCCCAGTCTCCCCACCCAACTTCTAAACCAATATGCCTCTCTACCCCATACTGGCTCCAATAGCCCTCCACAGATTCCCCATCCACACTGACTCCCACTCCCTATTTCCCTACTCTTGGGCTCCTTGTCTAATCTCGTGTCCTTCCCCTGATTCCTTGTCCCAGTTTCTTTGCCCAGCCAGGCCCAGGTTTCCTCTGACTCCTCAACAGGTCTCTCTCCTGACCACCTTCTCTTCACCCCTGCTGTTTCTCAGTCCCAGTTGCCCTGCCCAGACAGTCTGTCTTCCACCCATTTCCTGGCTCTCAGTCCCTCTAGAATCCCCTTCCAGCCCCTGTCTCCTTGCTCAGCCAGTCTCTCCTGCCAGGGTTCCTTGTCCTAATCTACAGCCCCTGCTTTTGTTCCGTCTGAATCTGTTTTTGTCTGGCTTTTGTCCCCTCTGCATTTGAATCAGACACCTTCTTGAGCAGTGGGTCACTGAGAGCACAGGAAAGTCAGGCTCCTTACTCTCAGTTCAGGTGCTTGGGCCTGGCACAGCCCACAGCAACTCAGAGCTGCAAGTGCAGGGAAAGTCCTGCTCGGCCCCAGGCTGGAGCATGCCCAGTGCAAACCAAATCTTTGGGGCATTTACTTGAGAGTCTCAAGAGAGCATGTGCAAACTGCAGTTCTTCAGACTTATAACTTGGCTAAATTTGGGTCGATTTTCCTAGGAATAGCACAAGATCTGTCCCTGACACAAAGGCCTCCACTACCAAATTCCTTGCTCCAAAGCATGGGGATGATAGAGCTTTTTAAAGAGAGGGCACAAGAATTTTTTATCATGGGCAAAATAATATTTCCCCCTAGCTTCATTCTTGGAAATGGCTGAATCATTTCTCCCCAAAATTCAGCCTGAGGCATGGAAAATTTCAGTCTGTACTGTTAAAATTTGGCCAAGTTAAAAACAACTAAAACTAGGGTCTGGAAACCCCAATAATAGGCAGCCCTAACAGGCCTGGTTTCCTATTTCAGAGATGTGCTGATGTTGCCATTTAATCATCATGGCATATGAATAGCTTCTTGGAGGGTCAAATTCACCACTATTCCCTTGTTCTTTTTCCTTATTCTCTTCTTTCTCTATCAGCCACAGCCGTGCCTAAATTGAAGTGTATTGCACCATATTCTCAGCTGATGTCAATGGAGCTATGCCAGTTTACAGCAGCTGAGAAACTGGCCCGGAGGGTTTAAAAAGAGAGAGCGCATGCACATGTGCTGGGTGAATACCACACCGTATTTATTTGCTCACATTGGCTTCAGCCCTGCTTGTTCTTTTTTTAATGGGAGCTGTCCGTGAGCATTTGAGCAACTATTTTATTTGCACAAATGCATCTAAAAAGTGGAAAACACATTGTACACCTGCTCTACTACAGTTATGACACATTTTAAGTTGGTATCCATTAGTATTCTGACTGGAAAGGATATGTCCAGCAGTGTCTCAGCTATATACAATATAATTGGGACAGTTTTCCCAAAACTCCTTGCCTTGCATGAGGGCAATTAAATAAGCCAAACAAGAACCTGACTTTACCTTGTACAGCTATGCCCTCAGCTTGAGTGTAGTTTCCCTGTCACTGAACAAACTGAGATGTAAACTCTGAACCCAGCCAATGTATCTTACAATAGCCTACTTTTTTTTATTTCTAGGAATGCTGCCTTTGCATCTTTTATGTAACTTTTTTCCTGTTGGTAGAAAAGGTGAATCAGCTCCCAGAACTCACTGCCAAGGCTCTTTCCTACTACAAAGACCCTGCACTGAATTAAGCTGTGGGTTCAAAAGTCACCTCTCGCTCTTTGCTGTTCCCTTTTATCCGTGACAGCTGCTATTGCTGTGACAGCGAAGACTTCATTCCACGTACCTACAGCCGAAAGTTTGCTGCCTCTCAGTATGTAATGCACGTCCCTGTATTGAACAGCCAACATCAAGGTCACAGCTTTTCAAATTCCACGTAAAACAAACTTCCTTTCAGCTATAGACTTGTGTACAGCTCGATTAGATCGTGCAGTATAGCTGTGATACTGCTATCCAAAGGCCAGCTCACAACCTCTATTATTTGTTCTTGGATTCCTGGTAGGCAGGAAGTACTGTAGTGCTTTGCGATTGCAGCAACAAACATTCTGAAACTAACACGATGCTTGGTAGAGAGGAGGGGATGGCAACTCAAAATGATCTGAACCATAAATTGGACCATTGGGGAAAACAAAAACAGTTGCCAATATGGTGTAGTTGTGAAATACTGTATTACTGTGACTCCGGATGTGGGTTTGGTATGACATGTTACATTTAACACACAAACTAGCCAAACAACTACGAATTTACTGGAATACTTAGGAATAAGGATTCCACCCTCTTCACATTTTGTTAAAACAAGTCCAAGAATAGCAATGACATTTAGAGCCTGGATTAAATAAAATGGTATAATTTAAAATCTGCTATCCTGCCACCCCAGTAGAAAAACTGTGCATAGTCTTTTCAGATATTACACTGTGACTTTAGTTTTCTGCGTTTCTGTGGCTGCAAAGTAGACCGACAACAGATCCTTCCAGGGATGTACAATAAAATGGTGTTCTGAGGGAGATTTTGTTAATAAGGCTTGACACAAATTTCTCTTAGGCTGCATGGTACTGTACCTGTGCATGTTTTCAGCGTCTTCTATGGTCTCAGGCAAAGTTTTCCCTTTGGTCTCAGGTAGGAGCAGCACCAGTCCACCATCAATTAAACCAACCACAGCTTGGAACAAAGATCACGCAAAAGGGTTAAATTTGATACAAAATCCATCGTGAGCATGACATGGTTTAATATTCATTTGCAGCAATGATCATGAATTTGAGGCAAAGCTGCCTCTGCTGACTGAATAAGTTGTTCCATTTTTTCAGTAGGCACTGCTTTTATTACTGAGGCCCTTCTGAGATGAGAAGAGAGAGGCTGGGCCACTCTCTCAAGTGTGGCTTAGGCCCTTCACCACTCAGAGGGCACAAAGGAGCCAGATTCTGGCTCCAACAGGCAAACTGAGACTCCTGTGCCACCAGCTGCCTCTTCCCCACTTGTTGGCAGAGGATGAGAACTTGGAAAGGGAAGGGGTGGCACTCTGCTACATCAATCCTCCACTGGGGTCTGACCCCTTCGGGACCATATGCCAGTGGTGAAGGCCTAACCTAATTTAGCTGGTGTATCTAACATATTGCAATCATCTCAAACAAAATTCCAACACTGAGCCCACAGTGAAAGAACATTAAGTGATTCAGGGCATTTCTAAGCCATGGCATTTAGTGAATCTTTCTGTCATGAGAACAATAGGGGAAAAATATGGCGTATCTCCTAGTGCACAGCATTGTCTACTAGGAAAGTTCTCTTACACAACTAGTGAATGAGGAGATTTCACTCCAACTCCATCCCTTTGCCTGGGCAATCTGTTCCCTCTGTCCCACAACCACCCATCCTAAATCCTTCAAACCACCCACTTTCCATGAAGTGTTGCAGAGTCTTATCCGTTGCTGCAGACACTATCTGTTAAATGTTCCATGAGCTGGATACACCTCCAACATTGTTGCTTGGGTACTAGGGAAATATAGTGATTTCCGCAGCTGTATCTAGGGGTTGGAGTCCTTTGGAGAATCATCACTGGTTGCTGTGGGGAGTAGGCCATGGTGAGTTGGCTGTTTCCCTCGTCCAAGGACTCATGGAAGCAACTGGCCAGTATTCCTGGACAGCCCAGTAGGCCAAGAGGTAAGGAAGCACGGTCGAATGGTTAGGATGCTAACTTGGGACTCGGGAGACCAAGATTCAATTCCTTGCTCTGCCACAGCCTTTCTACCTTGCATAAATCACTTGGGGAAGTGTCCCCTTCTGTCCACACTTTTAAAAGGATGTTGTTAAACTGGAGTAGGTTCTAAAAAGTGCTACGAGAGTGATTTGAGGTCTGGAAAAATCTGTCCTCCTGAGCTACACTGAATAAATTCAGCTCCTTTTAGCCTAATGGAAAAGGTTAAGAGGAGACTCACTAGTTTATGGTCTCTACGTATCTACATGGGGAAGAGATTTCTGATGGTAGTGTGCTCTTTATCAGTCAAAAGCATGCCATGATCCAATGGATGGAAGCTGAAGCTAGACAAATTCAGACTAGAAATAAGTTAAAAAAATGTTATGTTGAGGGCAATTAACCATGGGAACAATTTACCTAGGACATGGTAAATACAGAAACAAGGTGGGTGAGGTAATATCGTTTGGATAACTTCTGTGGGTGAGAGAGAGAAACTTTTGAGCTTACACGGAGCTCTTCTTCAGGTCTGCGAAACTAACTCAGCATCACTGCTATATAAAAGGTTGAACAGATTGTGCATCTGTAACTCTGAGTACGTTTCCCAGACCTGAAGAAGAGCTCTGTGTAAGCTTGAAAGCTTGTCTCTTTCACCAACAGAAGTTGGTCTAATAAAAGATATCTCACCCACCTTGTCTCTTTAATATGCTGGGACCAACGTGGCTACAACAACACTGCATATAGTAAATACAGTCACTCTACAATACAGAACTCTTACCAAAAACTACAAGTGGCAGCTCATGCCAGATCTCTGCCAGTCTGTAGACAATGAATGGAGTTATGATCCCACCAATATCACACATGGAAGAGCAGACAAGTACTCCCAGGTTCCTAGAAAATATATGTACATGAAATGTTCCCCCATTATTAATTTGTTTAAAAAGAATTCTGCAGCTATTCACTTAAACATTTTTAGCAATGCATACAGAAGAGTAGGCAAGCCATTCCTGTTAACAATACTAGGAGGGATGTGTCTAATCTGTTGCATATTGCAATGGAAATGTCCCTACTGGGATATAATGAGAACATAGTAGGTACTAGAGGGATGTCCAGAAGAACCTAGGGATTGGTTTGTGCACTAGGCATTGGTCTGAAACATGATTTTATTTAACATCTTCATTAATGATCTGGGAAGAGGGGATAAATGTCTTGTTAATGAAATTCACAGATAATATAAATTGGGAAGAGTTGCAAACATTGGTGAGGAGATAAAAATAATAAAAAAGAACTTTAAAAAGTCCACTTCTGACTGGGCTAATAATAACCAAGAGTAATAGGATGCATTTAATAAAAAAAAAAAAGGATGAAATGTCAGGCAAATCTTCCAGTGAGATGTACTAGAACAGTGGTCTCCAAAGTGGGGTGTGCACACGAGGATCCTTTGGGGTGCACAGCAGGAGGAGCGCCGCCGGAGCAGCGCCGCTTCCCCCCCCCTCCTTCGGCAGTTCGGCCAGGAGTCCGAGCGGCGCTTTTTTTGTTTGTTGCTTCGACAGTTCGGCCGGGAGCAGGGGGTGCGGGCTCAAAAATTTGTTACTGATGGGATGCGCGATCAAAAAAGTTTGGAGACCACTGCAGTAGGGGAAGCTGCTGGCCATGTAGTGCCCGAACAAAGTGCTTTTGTATTTTACAAAATACACCTAAAAATAAATTTCAAACAATGTGACCAGCAGCCCAAGTAACCTGCAACTAGCATGTCGTGGTGCCATAAGAGACCCAGGTTCTGTTCTCTGCCCTCGCCTCCTTCTCCCTCAGCTTACACTACTTGGATGACAGAGCCACCGACTAAAGATGGCAGGTTGCTGAACTGTACGTTACAAATCATTTCAACGCCTCCTCGGGGCTCATCCTTTTCCCCTTCCCTCCAAAAAAACCTGATTAAATGAAGGTATTATACAACGAAGAACAGAAAACCTACAGGACATTTTTGTCCATCTCTTTGCCAATACAGGATTATTCTTTATAGTGCTTTTTCTAGTGCTTTATCCAGCCTAGATTTATATCTCCAAAACGATGGGGCTTCCATTGCACCACCTAAAGAACACTTATATTTTCTAGTACAGTGGTCGCCAAACTTTTTTGATCGCACACCCCATCAGTAAAAATTTTTTGAGCATGCACCCCCTGCTCCCAGCCGAACTGTCAAAGCCAAAAAAAAAAGCGCCGCTCAGACTCCTGGCCGAACTGCCAAAGGGGAAAAAAAAAAGCGGCGCTCCTCCTGCCACGCACCCCGAAGGATCCTCTTGCGCACCCCACTTTGGAGACCACTGCCCTACTGTAGCAATAGCCTCCAGCCAGCCTCCGTTGGCAATCCCCAGGCCCCAATCATTCTCTCCTGGCTTGCTTCCACTAGATCTCTGATGCTGCAGCTTTTTCATTCTTCATTGGCTCCTTTTTCATCAGCTTCTGGGGGCAGCCTTTCAGCATCATCACAGCTACAGGTCTGAATCAGTCTTAAAATCAGCCAGCGCCAAGAGTGTTTCACTGTCCCTGGTTGAGATGCTAAATATCCATCTATAGAGTGATTATTCTCAAATCCAATCCTGTGTTTTGTGGTATATGAAACAACTTTTGCAGTGAATGTTCTGCATCAAGCTCTGCTCCATTGGGCCATGCAATGTATTTGGATAGGTTAAAGGTGGCCCACCGTACTGTTTAATTTTTAATTAAACTTCTGTCATTTGATAGACATGCTGTTCTGTTTTTTCTAATGTGCAGTCCATGGCTCTAACATGTTTCTGTGATACCCTTGAATCAGTAAATCGAGACACTTCGCACTCTTAGCCATTAAGTTTTATACTGGATTAACAGAAGACGATGCACCCACCTGAGAAATGTTGGGTACAATTCTGCATTTACTAGGCAAACCATTTCATAGCACATGGTAATTCCCATTCTGCCCAAGCAAGCTGCAGTAATTTTTAACCAATAGATATCTGGAAGGAAGTCACATGTTAGCATTACAAAGGTGGCTGGTTTCTTCTGATCATGTCATAAAAGAGTGTGAAAGATTGCATTTAGTAAATACCATACAGCACAGGAACCCCACAGCGGGGAGCTACGAATGGGTTCTCCTTTCACCCCCTATCAGTTTGCAATACTAATCCTTCAGAGCTTTTTAAGCATTTTAGATTTGTCAGTGTGCTGTACAATAATAAAGTAACTGACCCCCACAACACTCCTGGGAGGTAGGGTAAGCAGTGATCGCTTAGTTTCCCTATTTGTAAAACAAAAGCAGCAAAGATAAAGTTACAGAGAGTCCTGTGGCACCTTTAAGACTAACAGATGTATTGGAGCATAAGCTTTCGTGGGTGAATGCCCGCTTGCCCAAGGGCCACATACACACAGAACTAAGATTAGAACTCAGGATTTCCTAGCTCTAGCCACAAATGTAATTGATTAGACTACATCACCTCCTTGTATAAACCAGGAAGTGTCCGATCACTGTTTTAAAATGAGTTTGTTCGGTCAGCTGAGCTCAGTTTTTGGGCTGTATGTAAAAGTTTGGGAAAGATATATTATGTATTAAATCTTAAGTGACTGGTGCACCTGAGACTATACATATAAAAGAGCATATTAAAACTTGTAAAATCCTTGTGTCTGTCATTGGGATTGTCGATCAGGTTAGGTGTGTACCAGTTCTTTGTGTGTGTGCAAATACAAACTTTGGGGTGTACAAAGACATGTCTGGCCAAAACAGTGTGCTTGTGAATTTGCATGTGCAAATTTACAGGCGAGTTGATGCCATTTGGGAAATTTAGCCCATTATGTGCCCCGTTTTTCAGCACTTGCATTATAAAAAGCTCTTAGAGAAGGGAAAAATGATTGGTAATTTTTATCTTCACTGATGTTTGTGGAAAAATACCTATAATTTGTTCCCATTGAATTGCAACACCGATGTGGACTATAATAGCAAAAGTGGTCTTTTCAGTTCTCCAGAACACACTCACTCACTGACTCACTCTCTCTCTCAGGGGTGACAGTGACACAGACTAACAAAAGCTTGAGTAACTCACTGTCTGGGATGAAAGCTGTAATAAGGCAAGCAGCCCCCGCCACCAGATTTGCTGCAGCCCAGGGATAGCGACGGCCAATGCGATCAATTGTGAGTATGAGTATGAGGGCGGCTGGAAATTCAACCAGTGCAGAATAGAAGAAATCCAGATAAATGTTCCCACCAGCAATCCCCATGTGCATGATGAGCCCCTGGTACAGAACAGAGCTTGTGAACCTAGGCAGAGAGCAGAGCCCAATTGAAGCCAAGTTTGCAAAGGGATAGATTAGTCAAAGAATTAAGATTCACTGCCAGTCAAGGGCCATATGGGGAAAACAGAGCCAAAGTAACCATGTGGGGGGTTATGGGCGGGTGGTCTAATGCTTTGAAATGAAAACTGTGTTACCCTCCCTTACCAAGTGTACATCAAAATGAGCGTATGTTTCCTTATCTGAGGTGTTCTGACCAAGTCTAGAAATGAAGGGCTCAGCTTTTCCCCATCTTCCTCTTCAGGGTTGAGACTCTAGGAAAGAACCAGAGGGACATTAAGGAAGAGGTTAGGGGGTGAGAGTCTGGGGAGTTTGGCCTTGTTTATTTTCATTGGATCAACATAAGCATAATCGTTTCTGGAATTTTTCATTTACCAATTAAGAGTCTGTCTGCAAAGTAACCAAAAACTGAGGGGAAGTGTGGACACTTAAACAGCCCACCTTTTCCCCCAGCTGTCTGTCTGTACCAAAGCAACCTCATTAAATGAAGCAACATTTCTTTTTAAAAGCAATAAATGAATAAAAGATACTTTGGAATTTTCAGTCAGATGTGATCTGGTTGGTTGAATACTGCTTGATACTTCATAAGAGGAAGAACTCATTTTGGCTATTGGAATATTTATAGGAGTTTCCATTCATATAAGTGTGTTGTTTTAATATCCAAGGCTTTCACAAAAGAAAACCACTCAACTCCACTTTGCAGATTTGCAGCACTTTGGCTTGTCAGTTTGCTCCCTGTTCTGGATTCAGAGCAATCCTAAATATATAGCACTGTTTGCTTGTAATTACACACCCAGGAAAAAAATACATGATCACCTGTAAAGAGGGAGGCACCTTTTTCCCATTTCCCTTGGCAATACGGTTAATAATTTTCATGGCTTTGTCATTTTTCTGTTGAGCGATCAGCCACCTTGGTGACTCTGGCAGACACCTGCAACACAAGCAACCAGGCACAGGTATGTGGAAACAAAATATGTCGCGGTAACACTGTGTATTCAAACTAAATTGAGTTTCCGATGATAGGACATTAAGGGGTACAGAACACCCATAACTCCAGCTGAAGCCATGGGGGGTTGAGGATGCTTAGCTACTCTCAGGTTCATCATTTCATCATTTCCAAGGCCACAAGAGATCATTGTGATCATCTACTCTGTCCTCTTGTTAACACAGGCCAGAGAACTCCCCCAAAATAATTCCTAGAGCACATCTTTTAGAAAAATGTTCAATCTTGATTTAAAAATTGCTAGTGATGGAGAATCCCCTACAACCCTTGGTAAAGTGTTCCCGTGATTAATTATCTCACTGTTAAAAAAAAAATTGCATCTTTTTTCCAATCTGAATTTGTCTAGTTTTAACTTCCTGCCATTGGATCTGTGTAGATTGAAGAGCCTATTGTTAAATATTTGTTCCCCACATAGGTACTTATAAACTGTGATCGTCACTCCTTAACAAAGAGAAGGCTAAGCTAAACAGATAGACTCTAGAAGCTCAATCAGTATAAAGCAGGTTTTCTGAACCTTTAATCTTTCTCATGGCTCTTCTCTGAACCCTCTCCAATTTATCAACATTCTTGCAGAATGTGGACATCCGAACTAGACACATATTCCATCAGTGGTCAGACCAATGCCAAATATGGAGGTAAAATAAACTTTCTATTCTTACTTGAGTCTCCTGTTTATGATGACATCGTTTGGCTTCTAGAAAAAAACCGTTTGCTATATTTTGAAATAATGTAAAAAAATTCTGTCCATAAATAAGAGAAGGTGTTGACATTTTTCTAGATTGTGAAATTCTGATAAAACTTTTTGCTGAAATTCTGACAAAATAGTCAACAAAATGTTTGCAGATTTGTTGTATTTATTGTTTGCCATTTTAAACCAATAGAATCATAAAAATATTGGGCTGGAAGGGACCTCGGCAGGTCATCTAATGAAACGCTGAACTGAGGCAGGACCAAGTGTACCTACACCATCCTAGACAGGTGTATGTCTGATCTGTTCTTAAAAACCTCCAGTGATGAGGATTCAACAACCTCCATTGGAAGCCTATTCCAGTGCTTAACTACCCTTATAGTTAGAAAGTATTTCCTAATATCTGACCTAAATCTCCCTTGCTGCAGATTAAACCCATTACTTCTTGCCCTACCTTCAGTGGACATGGGCAACAACTGATCACCGTCCTCCTTATAACATATTTGTTTAAGAACTGGTTGGACAAACACATTTCAGGGATGGTCTAGGTCAGGGGTTCTCAAACTTGGGGTTGGGACCCCTCAGGGGGTCGTGAGGTTATTACATAGGGGGCTGCGAGCTGTCAACCACCACCCCAAATCCCACTTTTCCTCCAGCATTTATAATGGTGTTAAACACATTTTTATATATTTTTAATTTATAAGGGGGGGGGGGTCGCACTCAGAGGCTTGCTCTGTGAAAGGGATCACCAGTGCAAAAGTTTGAGAACCACTGGTCTAGGTTTACTTGATTCTACCCCAGCAAAAGGGGCTGGACTTGATGACCTCTAGAGATCCCTTCCAGTCCTACATTTCTATGATTCGCTTTGACGAATGCTATCAGATTACCTCCCACGCGTCAGTCTTCTTTTCTCAAGACTAAACATGACCAGTTTTTAATCTTTTCTCATAGGTTAGGTTTTCTAAAACCTTTTCTCATTTTTGTAGCTCTACTCTGTACTCTCCCGAGTTTATCCACATCTTTCCTAAAGTTTGGCCCAAAACTGGACACAGTACTCCACTGAGGCCTCACCAGTGCTGCACGGTGTGGGACAATTACCACTCATGTCTTATATATGACACTCCTGTTAATAACTCCCCAAAATTGTATTTGCCCTTTTCTCATCTGCATCACATTGTTGACATATATTCAATTTGTGATCCACTATAATCCCCAGATTCTTTCAGTACCACTACTGCAGAGCCAGTGATTCCCCATTTTGTATTTGTGCATTTGATTTTCCCCTCCTAAGTGGAGTACTTTTCACTTGCCTTTACTGAATTTCATCTTGTTGATTTCAGACAAATTCTTCAATTTATTACGGTTGTCTTGAATTCTAATCCTGTCCTTCAAAATGATAGCACCCTCTCCCAGCTTGATGTCATCTGCCAATTTTATAAGTATACTCTCCACTCCCTTATCCAAGTCATGAATGAAAATATTGAATAGTACTAATAAATATGCTCTTAAACTAAATGAGTAACTTTTGAAAAGTTAAAAATCACCTTCCTCACCTTTCCCACTGCTTAAAGACACCCATGTTTCAAATGTTAAATCTCACAGCTAGAGATGGGTCTAGAGAAACACCCTGGACCTCTGTGCATGGGGTAATAGTGGGTGGTGGGGAGTTCAAGCCCAAATGTACTATTGAATTTTGCAGCTGTCCCCTCGCTCTCTATTGGATCAAACTGAAGCCTCCAGATTCGAAAAAACCCAAGTTTGGAAGGAGTGGGATGACATGCAAAATTCAGACCTGGGTTTGAATCCCACCCCCATCTCTAAATAAGGCTAGAATAGTGACCTAGTGGCTAATGTTTTATTATTGCCATTCTGGGGCTGAATGTACAGAGAAGGTGCTGGAGATGCAGCACCCTTGCTATGGATGATAGAATGGAATAGAGTGTCTTACATTGTTAGGTAACAACCTCTTTACTCATTAACAAAACTGAGTGCTAGATTGATCATAACAGTGCATTCATGATATAGTAGCTTTTTTGTGCGGAATATTCAAAAATTTCTGTTTAGCTGTATAATCAGGTGAGAAGTAGAGCTAATGGAAAAATGGAATTTCCATCCCCTGGGAACCTCCAATATCTCAACATTTCTTTTCATCCTGAATCAGGAAGAAAAGTCAAAATATCAAAACTTTTTGCAGAACAAGTTCCAAAACATTTCAGTTCAGAAAAGTTGAGACATTTTGTTTTGGGTCAGGTTGACATTAGTGTGTGTGTCTGCCTTAGCCACTGGGATGCCTTATGTGAGTTGTTCTGGGTCCTTCATGCCCCCATTATCTCCTATAGGCCATGCACCCTGGTTGAACTACATCTGCTATGATGCAAGGTGGTCTTTTCCTGTGATTGATTCTTATGGGACTCCCATAAGGAGGGAGGAATAGCTCAGTGGTTTGAGCATTGGCCTGCTAAACCCAGGATTGTGAGTTCAATCCTTGAGGGGGCTACTGAGGGATCTGGAGCAAAATCAGTACTTGGTCCTGCTAGTGAAGGCAGGGGGCTGGACTCAATGACCTTTCAGGGTCCCTTCCAGCTCTGTGAGATAGGTATATCTCTCTATATTTTATTTTTCATGACATACTGCAATGGCTCAGCATCAGAGAAAGACTGCCATGCACCATGGGAGATATAGTCCAGTTGGAGAAGCATGGCCCATGGGAGAACCAGGGCATGAGAGACCTGAAACTACAAATTCTATGACTCAACGCAGTGGCTTTGGTAAGTTAATGTCAACCTGACATGAAACAGAAGGTTTCATTTAGATCTTTTTAATGGAAAGTTCTGCAGAAATCGATCCTTTCCTGTGGAAAATTGTAATCCTGGTGAAACCCCATTTTTCAATGGTAAAATGTTGCAGCAGAAACCTTTTGACTAGCCCTAACAGTAAACTAACGATGTCAAAAGGAGCTCAAACTGTAAACTAAAATCTCCATTTTGTATTTTTGCTCTTAGGTGAAATATAAATATGCTTACCAGTAATAGAGCAAGAAGAAGAAGTTTGGCAGCGTAACAGTGAGCTGCAGCCATCTCCAGTGAGGAATCATATAAGCAATAGCAGAGAGTACAAGGAGTCCAACAGTAAAGGCTACTTGGTAAACAATTCCTACTGTCCTTCTATAGCTTAAGCCAACAAATTCTGTGACTAAAAAGATAACACAAATCAAGGTAGAAAATAATCAGTGATAAATCAATTTAGAGATTGGAGAACCTAGATCCCCTAATTTAAAACCATTAAAATTTTTATAGATTCTAGAATTTATGACCTTGTAAAATTTCTGTCCTATCTAGAAGCCTTAACAGCCCTTTAAACTGAGTTCTCTTCAATGATGTAGAGTAACTATTAAAAATCAAATTCTACAAATTTGTCATGTTTCATGAACAGAAATACATAGACTTTTTGAAAAGTTTGGATGTTACTAAACCACAGTAAATTTCTAACAGTGATTTTGGTATCTAAATATTTATTTTTTAAAATGAAGACCGCTAAGTGGAAAATGGCAGTAGATGCGGGGGGAGGGGGCAGGGGAGGAGGTAGAGAACTTATAATTGATGTTTCTTGAGAATGTTGTGTATGTAGTTTAATAGAAAAGTATAAAACATTGTTGATGTATGGTTATGTGGACTTGTATTAGAAGCTGTTCAGTATCATTACTGTGTGCATATTTAATTTTTAGATTTCTTTTTTTCAGAAAGGGCTTAGTGGTATGTTCTCATTTTGAGATTACAGATGACAGAAGAGTTTTTATTGTGTCAGAGTTAAAGGTGTTGGGTTGTGACGAAATATGCATTTCTTTGTACTTGGTGTGAATAACAGGTGAAATCCCGTCCTCACTGAAGTGAAGGGGGTTTTGTCACTGACGTCAGTAGGACCAGGATTTCACCCATTAAGAAGTTATGTGGACAAGGGATGCGTTTACCTATTTGTTGCTTGCATTTAAGGGCTTTGGTTTTCTAAATGTAAAAAGGAAGCATAATATTGTCAGGTGGTAACCTTACCTTGTCTGGAAATAAGGTTTTTTATAAGGTCTCAAGTCATGGAACCACAAAAAGTCTGGGGAACAAAAACTTCAATTTGGACACGACACTACTCACTACCTTTCGAGGCCAGCCCCACTCAGTCTGTACGCGATGTGTACCTGCAGCTGGGAGAGTGCCTCCTAGCCCGGGTAGACAGATGTGCTTGAGCTAGCGTGCTAAAAATAGTAGTGTGGACATTATGACATGTCCAGTGACACAGGCGAGGCACCTAAATAGAAGCCCACCCAACCCCTTCAGTCCGTACTTAGGTGACTAGCCCTGGATCTTCCTGGGCTCACTCCCAGCTGTAGGCATACCCTTAAAATTTAACCTGCCTTTGACAGCATTTCCAATTAATCCATGTCCCTTTATGGGTATTTATTTGAACATATACTTGTTAATGTGGGAAGGCACAGTATTTTCCAAAACAGTCTTATTCCAATATGTGTAGGCTTCTCAAAGACTTAGGGAAGAATGGCAAGTTTTTAGATCTAAACCCCCCGATATTGTCTCATCTGAAAAGAAAATGTGATTTTGACATAAATCTTGGTTTTGAGCGTAGAATGCAGTTTTTCAGCGAATAAAATGAGCTTAATTTTTCAGCGTGTTACCCAGTGAGCTAATAATTCCTTACATTCAGCTGTATTAGAACAAATCTGTTCAGCTCTACTTCTACACCCAGGGCTTTATTCCCAGAAGTGGAAATTGCAATCGGTCTTACTCAGGATGTAGCCTGTTAACCAGCCCCCCTTGCTGACCAGTCCTTGTATGAAACGATAGATCAGCATCCACGTGTAGCTTGGTGCAAAGGCCATGAGAACTCCAGAAATGGAATTGACAAGGATTGTAATTAACAGGCATAATTTACGACCAAACCTGCAGAGAAACAAATGTATCTGTGATCATTATGTGCATTACATCGTGCAAAACATAACTGAAGAGCAAATTTTCACGTGGCTGAGTCATGCTGGTTGCAAAGCAATACTTTTTGAATTCATTCTATTGAAAGATCTGTTATTTTCTTCTCCCAAGTTTTGTTCAGAGCAGTTTCTCATGTACATACGGTTTAACGTTGTACTGTAACACCTGGAGTCCTCATCTAAAGAGAGAATTGCTGATAGACCCATCCATTCATTTTGCTAGGGAAAGAATACTGAGAAATGCTTGTCTGGCCTATTCCTGTAGCACCCACAGCATTTTGGTTAATTTCCCACTCATTTTCTAGGGTACCCCCTCCTGTGCCCATATATGTGCATAATAATCGAGAGGGGAGAAAGCCAAGCCACTATTGTGCATTTTTAGATATTCTCAAAGTCCAAGTTGTGTGACGTATAGCAGACAGCAGCTATAGTTCCCTGGGTTGCACAGAGGAAGCAAGAATTTTGCAGAAGTGATGGCTCTTTTCTGGGGCACATGTTGAATTGGGGATTTTAAAAGGAGGAAAGTACGTGCTGCAATCATTGTTTAACTCCGCTGGCTTCACAGCTGGTCTCAGCTGGGTGAGCAAATGCCAGTCAGCCAGTTGTGACATCCTAATCCTGGGGCTGGTTTGTCTGCCGGGGCCGGGCACTGTTCTAGTTTGCACTGGCTGGCTATGGCCTCCAACGGTCCAGCTGTCAATTGGCATAGCCAGAGCACAGAATGCTCCGTCCATGCTTCCCCTCGCCCACAACTTGCCCTCTACACTGAGAGCTGCAACAAGGGGAGTTTCACAGAGGAGCCAGCTATTCCAGCTCTATTCCTGCTGGGGATTCCCAGCAGGCATAGAGTTTCTGTCCTTATATCTCCTTTACCTACATGATTTTCCCCCCTGCTTTTAATGAAGGCAGGAATTGCTTTCTGGTTCCCTCCACCAAGATTTTCCCTTTACAATGATCTTCGTGAGTTCTTACAGACTTCTTTCACCCATGTGTTTGCACGTTTTCTTACCATGAACACTTTTTGACCTGGCTAATGGGCTCTGGAAACATCCTGTGGTGGCTGTCTGACTTGCGCTACATTGATCTGTAGTTCTTCTTCTATGCTACAGTAGTTTCTCCATTGACCTATTCAATGACCCTAATTTTTGCCTCATTCCAGTCATCCTTCCCCAGCTATAGTGCTCAGAAATTTCATATTAGGCCTGCAGTTGTCTCTCCATTGGTATCATAATGGCTCCACTGATATTCAAAAGCAAATGTTTCCAAAAGAAACAGGCTTATTACAATGCTGGAAAGACATTTTGGTTTGGTTTAATGGAGAACTATTTATTTAGTTATTTGATTTGTAAAAATGCACCATCAGTCAAAACTCTGCATCCCAGTACAATAAATGTACACTAACAAAAATAGCAGAGTGACAAATGACAGCCAAAGTAAATTTCTTCTTTCCCCTCAATAACATCAGCAGCTCAAGTCACTCAGATGCCCCCTTCATCAAATCCCATGTAAGCAGGTCATTTGAACTATGTCCTAAGGGTCAGCCAAGAGGGCTTTGCAAAGCCAACAGGAAATTCCAGACTCAAGGTCCATCTCCTAAGAATGCCCTAGGGGCCTTCAGCGTTCTAGATCTGAACTGTAGGGGCAAGTTAGGAGTACTATAGCTGATGTCAAACACTGCATAAGAGGAGAGGTGGTCTTTATGGTAGCCAGGGTACAAAACATATAAGACTTTATAGATCAAAATGAGCACCTTGGATTTTGCCCAGAAACCAGCTGAGTCTATGAATAGGTCTAATATACTCCTTTGAACTAACACCTCTAAGAAGTCTTATTTTGCCCTAACTGAAGCTTCTAAATGGTAGTTGCAGTGATCCACCCTTTCTTCTGCTCCTGGCTTCTGGGATATGACATTTTTATGGATCCACTGATCAGAGACATATATTTTAGGAAATAAGATATTTTAGCCACCAGGAACTACTCCATTCTAAATGACTGAGTGATCTTTTGAATTAGTTTTTCAGTATGTTCATTTGCCCCTTCAATCATACATGTTGTTTAAAAATATGAATGTTAAATACCCAAAGTGAATGTCTCATCCCACACGTACCTGTCTGCTATGTAGCCAATGCTTATGGAGCCAATAAAAAATCCAACGTTCACACAAGACTGAAAGAGATCCAGCTTCCAGGAGTCCTCACACACCAGGTTAAACTGCAGAGGCACATCAGTGTTAGAACAGGGAGAACAGACACTCCATAACATTAGACGTGGCCCAGCCATTTTGAGAAATGATGAACCCACCACACACACACAAAAAAAGAATTAGGAAAATTTTCCAGAAATGAAATGACCTAGTTCTTTTAACCATCATAGCTGAAATACATTTTGTCCAATTTGCCTCAGTTTTCAGAAAAATACTACCCTTGTTAAGGATCAGGGCCCAGGCATGGACATTGGCATACTGGAGATGAATGCATGGCTGCGCAGACCATGTCAACAGGAGAGCTTGGCATCCTGCACCCTTGGGAGGTTGTTCCAGGAAGGAGGTGTGCTGGGGAGAGACAGACTCCACCTCACCAAGAAGGGGAAGAGCATCTTTGCAAACTGTCTCACCAACCTAGTGAGGAGAGCTTTAAACTGGGTTCAAAGGGGATAGATGACAAAGGCCTACAAGTAAGCATAAAAAAAGTGACCTTAACAGAGGGCTAGAGATTTGGGAGGACAAAGTTAGTATAGGGTCATGAGAGAAATCAGTGGGGAAAATCTGCTTGAAATCTTAGATATCTATACACAAATGCAAGGAACATGGGGAATACATAGGACGAACTGGAAATATTAGTACATAAGCTAAATTATGACAACTGTCATCACAGAGGCTTGGTGGGATAAACCTTGTGACAGGAATATTGGTCTTGTAGAATGCTATAGCTTGTTCCGGAAATTCTGGCAGGAAAAAAGGGAGGAGGTGTTGCATTATATATCAAGAATATATACACTTGTTTTGAGGTCCAGAAGGAGGTGAGATCTGGACCAATTGAAAATCTCTGGGTAGGGATAAAAAGAGAAAAAAAAGGGGTGATGTCATGGTAGGGGTCTACTAGAGACCACCATATCAGGAAAAGGAGGTGGATGAGGCATGTCTAGGACAAACAGAAATATCCGAAACAGAAGAGCTGGTAGTAATGGGGGACCTTAACTACACAGATATCTATTGGAAAAGTAATATTGCAAAATGCAAAATTTCTAAGAAGTTCTTGAAATGAATTGGGGACAACTTTCTGTTTCAGAAAGCTGAGGATGTAACCAGTGGGACAAGCTTTTTATATTTGATTCTGACCAACTGGGAGGAATTGGTGGAAATCTGAAGGTGGAAGGTGACCGTGAAATTATAGATTTCAGGATTCTAAGACAGGAAGGAGTGAGAACAGCAGAGTCTAACAAACTCAGAGAACTGGTAGGTAAGGTCCCATGGAAAGAAAAGCTAAGGGATAAAGTCAGTCAGGAGAGCTAGCAGTTTCTCAGAGACAATATCAAAGGCACAACTGCAGTGTGATCTATCCTGATGCAAAGGAAAGATTGGAATAATAGTAAGAGGCTAATATGGCTCCAGCAGGAGCTCTTTAGTGACCTGAAAATCAAAAAGGAATCTTACAAAAAGTGGAAACGTGGATGAATTTCTAAGGAGAAGTACAAAAGAACAGCACAAATGTGTTGGGACAATGTCAGAAGAGGCTAAAGCAAAAAAATCAGTTACTCCTAGCCAGGGACATAAAAGGCAATAAGAAAGAGGTTCTTTAAATACATTATGAGTAAGAGAAAGGCAAAGGAAAGTGTAGATGCTCTACTTAGTGGGAAAGGAGAGCTAATAACTGATGACATCAAGAAAGCTGAGGTGTTTAATGCCTATTTTGCTTCAGTCTTCACTAAAAAAGGCTAATGGTGACCAGATACTCAGCACAATTAATATTAATTATGTGGGGAAGGAGCGCAAGCCAAAATAGGGAAAGAACAGATTAAAGAGTATTTAGGTAAGTTAGATATATTCAAGTCAGCAGGGCCTGATGGAAATTCATCCTAGGGTACTTCCGGAACTAGCTGAAGCAATATCAGAACTGTTAGCAATTATCTTTGAGAACTCCAGGAGGCTGGGTGAGGTCCCAGAGGACTGGAGAAGGAACAAAGAGGACCTGGGGAATTATAGACCAGTCATCCAAATTTCGGTACCTGGAAAGATACCAGAACAAATTATTAAACAATCAATTTGTAAGTGCCGAGAGGATAATAGGGTTATAAGGAATAGTCAGAATGGGTTTGTTCAGAACAAAGCATGTCAAACCAACCTAATTTCTTTCCTTGACAGAGTTACTGGATTAGTGGATGGGGGAAAGCAGTAGATGTGATATATCTTGATTTTAGTAAGGCTTTAGACCGCCCCACATGACATTCTCATAAGCAAACTAGGGAAATGTGGTCTAGATGAAATTATTGTAAGGTCAGTGCACAACTGGTTGAAAGACCATATTTAAAGAGTAGTTTTCAATAGTTTGCTATCAAACTGGGAAGGTGTATCTAGTGGGGTCCAGCATAGGGGGTCAGTCCTGGGTCCAGTACTATTCAATATTTTCATTAATGACTTAGATAATGGAAGAGTACACTTATAAAATTTGCAGATGACATCAAGTTGGGAGAGGTAGCAAGTACTTTGGAGGACAGGATTAGAATTCAAAACAACCTTGACAAATTATAGAATTGGTCAGAAATCAACAAGATGAAATTCAATAAAGAAAATGCAATGTACTTCACTTAAGAAGGAGAACTCAAGTGCACAAGTACAAAATAGGAAATAACTGGCTAGGGGGTAATACTGCAGAAAAAGATCTCTGGGTTATAGTGGATCACAAATTAAATACGAGTCAACAATGTGATGCAGTTGTGAAAAAGGCTAATATGTTTTGGGGGTGTATTAAGAGGAGTGTCTCATGTTAGACACCAGAGGTGATTGTCCTGCTCTACTTGGCACTGGTGAGGCCTCAGCTGGAGTACTGTGTCCAATTCTGTGTGCCACACTTTAGGAAAGATGTGGATAAATTGGAAAGAGTACAGAGGAGAGCTACAAAAATGATAAAAAGTTTAGAAAACCTGACCTATAAGGAAAAAGTTAAAAAAATTGGTCATGTTTAGGCTTGAGAAAAGAAAACTGAGAGGCAGAAGGACATGAGTCTTCAAATTTGTTACTGGTGGTTATAAAGAAGACTGTCTCAATTGTTCTCTGTATCCACTGAAGGTAAGACAGGAAGTAATGCACTTGATCTGCAGCAAGGGAGATTTAGGTTAGATATTAGGAAAAACTTTCTAACTATAAGCGCAGTTAAGGTCTGCAATAGGCTTCCAAAGGAGATAGTGGAATTCCCATCACTGAAGGTTTTTAAGAACAGATTAGACAAACATCTCTTAGGGGTGGTCTAGGTTCACTTGGTCCTGCCTTACCACAGTGGGCTGGACTTGATGACTTCTCAAGGTCCCATCCAGCCCTACATTTCTATGATTTCTATTATTTCTCTGAATATCACATAATTACTTCCTGGGGTGAGGGTTCAGGGGGAAAGAGGAGGGAATTTTAAGAAAATTAATCCTCCTGTAATTTTGGATAAATTTGGAAAAACATCTGAATCTCTATCAGTTTATCTTGCTAAACCTCTAGACTTTGTGGTTTGTTCATCGCAACTTGTCTAGCAACTGAAACTGTGTGATGCTGCAGAGATTTTACTCAGCTTCATTCTCATCTATATGTAGTGACTCTGCGTGGAGGAAGTGTCCATCCGTTCTGCCTTGGAGTTAGGCATTTATGGCTTTGATTTAGGAGTACATTACATTTTCTGGCTGCAGCCATATAATCTGTGGTATCACCCTGATACCTTTCATTAGTTTTAGATTGGCTTATAGGGCTAGGCGGCACCATGGGGGTTTGCATGGCTGCTGGATGCTGGGAGGGTTGCCCAATGCAGTTTTCAGCAGCAGGTAAAGATATTTTCAGACTCTGAGCTCCTGAACTGAGCTTTACCCCGGCAGCTGTGAAGAAAGTAATGTCTGTGGGGGCATCCATGGGCCACTGGCTATGGGTTCATATTTGTTGCTTAATAGAGTCGTTAGGTGTGATACAATGGGCCCTGCCAGAGCGAAGCAGAGCAACCTGCTCTCCAACTCCTAATTAGCACTGGCACAAAGCCCAGCGGCAGAGTTTACTTCACTTTTATTCACAGCAAACATGTACTCTGTAACTTCGCTGTGACTCACCCTATGTTTCTGTTGCTCAGTATGTCTACACAACACTCAGCCTCCCAGACCGGATCAACTGACTTGGGCTAGCGGGGCTCAAGCTAGTGCCCTAAAAATAGCTGTGTGTAGACAGAGCTTTTAAGTTGTGGCCCACGCTGGTCTCTCATTAGTGGTCTCTCTAGGCTGAGGGGCTGTCTCCAGCCTTGACCAATGCCAGAAGCTTCAAAGGAAAGTGAAAACTCTGAATGTTTAATACTGTATTATGGGCACAGTTTTACTCTCATTGAAGTCAATGGCAAAACAGGGAAAGGACCAGGTATTAGGTGGGGGAATGTCCTTATTTTCTGCTCCCCATCCTTAGAACACTTAGTCCATATAATTTTATCCTAGATAATGTAAGAGCAGATATTGTTCTTGCCCATGTCTAACCTTTTCTTACATTCCTATGCTCTTTGCCTCAGTAACATCCTATGGCCATGAGTTCCGCAGATTCCACTTTACCCCATATTTAACTCATTTCCTTTTATTTATATGTGTTGGTGTTTAATTCAATAGTATTTTCTCATATTCTCATTTAAGAGAAGGGATAAAGCATGCACTAAGACTTCTTACCATTCCCCACTGCTTTATAGTATCCATCGCATCTGCTTTTTCTCATCTCCCTTCCAAATTAAATCATTGTAATCTCTTTAGCCTCTCCCCCTGTGACATACACCCTCCCCACATGCTCCTAATCATTTCTCTGGATCTTTGCCTCTTTCAAGGGAGGATTACCTAAAGGGAATGCAGCATCAACGCAGATCAAGCTGTATCTCACTGTATATACTGGCATTATAATAGTGAATGGACTATTCTTAGTCTCCTTCTTGATACTACTTGCTGTCTGATTGGCTTTCTGGAGTTCACAGCACAAATTCAGCTCTCAGCATATGCCTTCAATGTATTTGTCTACATTAATAGTAACCATATTAAGCTCTTATGTAGCATTTTTCATCAGTAGATCTTGAAGTGCTTTACACAGGAGATAAAGTATCCTCCTCCATCTTATAGCTGGGGAAACTGAGGTATTGTGAGGGGAAAGTGACTTGTCCACTGTCACACGACAGGCCAGTGGCTGAGCTGGGAATAGAACCCAGATCTACTGATCCCAGTCCAGTGTTCTACCCACTGGGCAATACTGCCTTCTACTACATTGAAGCCTACATCATATTATAGAGCGGTTTCAACTAATCACACTCTAGCACTGTGTATAAACAGGGCTAACAGGACATAATCAGGTTAAAAATAATATTTAAACAAAATTCCTTTCTTAGCAACATAACACCTCACAAAGGATTTTAAAATATTAAACTTATTTTTCAACGCTCATGCTATTGGTTTATTTTTGCATTTCTCTCCATCAGTTTCACTTTTATTTCTTGTCAATTTCACTTTCAGGTTCTCATACACTAGCAAAATACTGTGGTTTCTCCTAGCTGGCAAACATTTCAGGAGAATATTTGTGTGTTCACCTATGTAATATCGAAAATCAGATTAATTTATAACTAGAATATGGCCAGGGAAGAAGTCAAAGTAATACTGAGAATACCTTTGACTGTTCTCATTAACGTCTTTTCTAAGTCATGGAACCTTGACACTATTATAGCAAAAGGTTCTGATTCATTGCCACCGTTCACACTGAAGAGACTGTGACTCTGCACCCCATATTCTTCACAAAAATATTGTTATAATATGAATATGGCATAACTAAGATGTTTTATGCAAGATGGGTCATGTGAAGTATCATTGGAAAGGTTACGATCTACTGAATGTGTTTATCCAACTTGTATGCATGTACCATTTCTGTATATGAAGTTAGGAATATTGACTATGTAACAATTACAACTGTGTGTGTACTTGGGGGAACGCCCACCAGACAGTAAGCAATTAGCCTGGATGGGTCATTAAGACGGACAATAGAACTTTGAAGATATTAATCTCCCACCTTCCTGAGACGCTTCCTGGGATGCTGCTTTGACACTACAAGGTCATGTGATCATGTCACCTGGTACAGGGTCCCACCTTGAGCTGGTATTTTTCCACTGGAAGGGGATGTGATAGGAAACAAAAGATTCCTGCCATATGTAAATCCTATTTAAGGCTGGGGAGGGAGGTAATCAGGGCTCTTCTCAGCTGCCTCCCCACCCAAGAAGGAAGACTGCTGAAAACACCTGAAGAAACAAAGGAACTAAGCTGGGGGAGACAGGGGCTGAATCCAGGCAAGAAAGGACAGCCTGTAAAAGGAATCCCAGAAGATTAAAGCTGCAAGCAGTGCAGTTTACCATCAAGAATCTCTGCAACCTGCTTGAAACAACATATAAGGTGAGAAATTATTATTTGTGGCCAGTATTCCTTAGTGTATTAAGCTTAGTTGGGTGTTTTGATTTATTTGCTCAATAATCTGGTTTGATCTGTTTGCTATTCCTTATAAACACTTAAAATTTACCCTTTGTAGTTAATAAATTTGTTTCTTGTTTATTCCAAAATCCAGTTTATGTAATTTTATAACTGGGAGGTGGGGGTGGGCAAAAGCTGTGCATAACTTCCTCCACATTGAGGGAGTGGGTGATTTTCATGAGTTTATTTCTATATAGATCTCTATACAGCACAAGACAATATAATTCTGGGTTTACACTCCAGAGGATGTATCCACAGGAGCACTGGGCAATCCCCTAGCTGAGTCTCCCACAGAGAGCTGATCGCAGACTCTGTGTGATTCTACAGCTAGGTGTGTCCCTACCTGTGTGTGCTGGAAGGGGGCTTGAGAGCCTGCCCAGGCTGGTGAGACAGGTGGGCTCAGTGGGACCCCAGCACATCAGGTGGCACCCTCGAAAGGGGGGTCCAACCCGTCACAGGCAGCATGGCTGGTGAAAGGGTTTCCTTGCATTTGATGAACATTCCATGCCTCTCTCTGGTTACTGCTAAACCATCTTTTCCAGTGATTACTTTTATCTCTGGTTTGTAGAATCTTCTGAAGAACATTTTTGTTGCCTTTGGAATATACTAGATTGCAGCAAATGGCCAGTACGGTAGGTTAAAAATTTTTCCTGGAGGAGGATACCCCTGGATTCACCTTAAAAGGTCTTCACGGCTCCTTCCCCCTTACAACTTGCTCACTTTGGAAACTGCTCACGACACATAAATTATAGGAGATATCCCATCTCCTAGAACTGGAAGGGACCTTGAAAGGTCATCAAGTCCAGCCCCCTGCCTTCACTAGCAGGACCAAGTACTGATTTTGCCCCAGATCCCTAAGTGGCCCCCTCAAGGATTGAACTCTCAACCCTGGGTTTAGCAGGCCAATGCTCAAACCACTGAGCTATCCCTCCCCCCCACTTACAGGTTGTATTCTCATCTTGAAGAATGTAGCAGGGGAGGCATCTATGTTAACTAGAGCCAGTTGAATTACCCATTGCAAATTAGTTACATGACAAATGTAGCCTTTTTCTCTGTTTGCAGATCGTTTTTACCTTATCCCCATTATCTATTACCGTATTTGCTATATGTAAATATTTTCCAATTTGACCAAATTTCCAATTTTGTCTTCACTGTGTCTTTGACGTTATTTATTATTCATGTACGAGATCAGTCAGCTAGGTCATGTGTAAAGCCCTTCATTTTCAGCTTTTATTTTGTTTAAAATGTCCTGGGAATTTATTAGTGTTGGAAAAAATGGGTGAAAATTGGTGCAAAAAATTAGCTTTGCAGTTTTCTGAGTAAATATTGCGGGTAAATATCACTCTTTCCCCCTGTTTATTAAAAAAAAATTAAAAAACCCATCTTTGTTCTGAAATGTAGTCAGTTTTTTGTTTTCATCTATTTTAGCATGAAAAGTAGTTCACTAACTTGTATTTGCTTTAAATGCTGCTAACTTTTCACGCTATCTGTAAAGCAGGCCCGTGCATGGATGACTGAAACATTTAAACAAGAGAATAGCAAATGATGAAATGTGCATAATCATTTGTATGGAAATGAATGAAACTTTCAGGATTTGTGAACATTTTTATGAATAAACTTCCAGTCTTCTGACTACTCCTGAAAAACTAGTAATATGACCCTGCAAATAATAGCACAGTGTACTTACTATTTTTCCCCACAAATATATTCATAGATCACTTTTTGTACTCTTCAACAAGATTTAGTGTTAGCATTGTTATTGGGAATTATACTCAATCTATGCACATGCTGAGGTGAGACTATTAGCTGGCATACGTGTTTCCTCCTTCAGAAAATTATTATTTGGGATTTTTTCAGTTTGCAAATACCTGGGTAACCATGGACTGTTGCTGCTTGTTTAAGTTTCTTACCTCAGTCACGATGGACGATGCTGAAGAATCGTAAACCCAGCCATCTTGACAGGGGGTAAGAGGGATACTGCTCCTGTTGCCATAACCGGTGAAGTTTTCTAAGGGGTTTGTGCAGCTGAGGCCAGTTGTGTTCCAGTCCACGTCGTATCTCCTGCACTGACTAGAGAAAGACTCCCCATGTCTCCCCTGCTCTGGAACGGTGTAATTCAGTTCCTCTTCTAGACTCCAGCCACATCGGCTGCTCAACTCAGCAACTCCAGGACTGAGACAGCGGTGTTCAGGAGTGAACCCCAAGAAGACGACACCCACGTAAATAGGGGTGAAGGAGGCAGACAGCAGGCATAAGACAAAAAAGGCTCGCTTCTGGAACAAGTCAAATTCCCCAATATGCTCTAGAATGTCATCTAAGGTTGGCATTTTTGCATATGGCAACTCACTTAAAATAAGTAACCAAGCTGCTCTTCACAGCATTGCTCTGCATTTAGTTGGAAGCAGAGCTGTTTAAATAACTGCAGGATACTTGACCAAAAGTCAAATAGTTAATTTACCTTGTAAATTGACAAACCATGCGTTGCAACCTTTATTTCTCAAGCGTTGTTTCAAATCAAGCTTTGATTCTTATGTGACGCAAACTCTGCTGTTGGTTGTTAGCTTGTTTTGTGTGTTACGGGCTTGGAAGATTATGCTTGGTGTTTTACATAGCATCTGTTGATTTGTTAGTATATGATATAGGCTAGACAATTATTCCTCTGTTATCTGAGTCCATAAGCATTATAAATGCACATTGTGTTCTTCATTGTTCATAGGGGCCTGTGATTTTTATACCCTCAAGTATAACAGATTCTAGCCCCTATATGCTGCGCTGGCAGTGTATACAGACCCCATTTCCAGATTTTTAAAGGTATTCAGCCAGCTAAAGATGCATATAGATGCCTAGTGGGGTTTTCCAAAGCACCTAGGTACCTAACCATTGGGAGTGTTGTGCCTAGGTGCTTTGGAAAATCCCACTAGGCACCTATCTGCATCTTTAGGTGGCTAAATATCTTCACAAATCTGGCCCAATGGCACCAGGGAAACTTCCTCAGAGCCTCCAGTACAGGGTGTGCTGACGGTGGGAGAGATGGCAGGGGAATGGCCACAGAATAAAGTAGCTATTCTGGATTGCAGAGCAGCCAATAGGGGCCAAAGGTCCATAAATTAGAGCAACACCTCTGGCTGTTCTAACGTATGCTGGGGGTGTACTAATCTCCAGAGCGAACAGAATTTGGGGCACGTAATGTTGGCCTTAAAACCTCCTTTTCCTCCCCTTCCTCCTGGGCTGTGCTTTGTTCCCTGCACCTCCTGGGAGGCTTAGCTCAGAGACTAGCCCTAAACCATGTTCTACTCATGTGTATACATTCCGTTTATGTCATGTAACCTGATTATACAATGCTAACATCCGGGCTTATGCTAAAGCTATAAAGAAATCTCAATTTTCCCTTCAGTCTCTTCTGTCTTTTGAGATCATTCATGTTGTGCTCCTGTTCTATGCTGAGATTCTAAGGCCAGAAGGGAACATTGTGATGATCTAGTCTGACCTCCTGAATAGCACAGGCCATCGAACTTCCCCAAAATAACTCCTAGCGCAGATCTTTTAGAAAAGCATCCAGTCTTGATTTAAAAATGGTCAGTGCTGGAGAATCCACCATGACCCTTGGTAAATTGTTCCAATCATTAATTACTCTCATTGTTAAAAATGTATCCCTTATTTCAAGTCTGAATTTGTTTAGGTTCAGATTCCACCCATTGGGTCATTTTACACCTTTCTCCGCTAGATTGAAGGGTCTATTAAATATTTGTTCCCCATGTAGATACTTATAATTGCAATCAAGTCACCCCTTAACCTTCCCTTTGTTAAGCTAAGTAGATTGAGCTTCTTGAGACTATCCCTATAAACCATGTTTTCTAATCCTGTAATCGTTCGCCATCCATGGACACTACCCGGCAAGTCACAAATATGGGCACTATTTTGACATTAACAATTTCTATATGGCATAATAAAAGATCAGATTTTTTCCTGTTCACAGGGAGCTTTTAAACTATGTGTAGCCCAGACTATTGCATGTCAAAGTCAGGAGATGAGAACCTGTAAGAGACTGAGAGATGACCTTAAGTGCTATACGCATGCACTTTGCAGTAACTGTGTCCACTAGCAAACATCCGTTTAAGTTTACACCTATTACACACTTATTTATATTTAAAGCCAATACTAAAACAAACCAAAATAAATACAAGGGCAGGTGCATAAAGGCATCTTGGAAATGCACTCTGTCCTCCTTTTCTCCCCTGGGTATGTCCCAGCATGACCCCATGCCAGGAACTGCAAGTGGGGGAGCAATATAGGGCTGTTCCACTGCCCCTATGCCACAGGAGAATCCTCCCTGTGCCAGATGTATCCCCTAGGGGTAGATCAGCAGGGTTTGTGGTCCCTATATGCTGGCAGGCTGGCCCACAGGGAAGCCCAGAATCTGGGCCTAAAAGATTAAACAGGAAGATTTGGAGTCATCTGAAGGTCAGTTTGTTGAACATCTAGCCCTAGACTCAAAAGCATGTGTTAGAGGTGGAAAATGCTGTCACTTTAATCATTATAAAGCTGCATTGCATTAGCCCTTGCTTAGTTCTCCTGGAAGCCATGGTTCCCATCCACACCTGGGACTAGTCTGTTACAAAGCCCTTCTGTGTCTGGTCTGGCTGTCCCCCCTGTGTGTGGCCCAGTCTGATCAGGCTCCCATCCGCCAGGTCAGTTCTGTCTCCTTGTGGTGTATCTTGTACTTCAGCTGGGTTTTTTCAGTTCAGTCATTGACCCATAGCTCTAGCCTGTCCTCCCCTAGTGCAGAGCAAGGTCTGTGTTCCCTCTGATGCTTACTGAGGGGATATAAGGAGAAGGTGAAAGAATCTGGAACACCCGTTTGAATGGAGAGTTACTATATCTCTTATCAGAAGACTATATTGCCCTGCTGCAGTAGGTTAATTAAAGCAGTTGTCTATTGAGACACTTTTACTGTGTATAATCAGTAATCTCTTTAGTTTATAGAAAGTAATGTATTATCACGCCTGCTATGAAATATGTCAACACTCCAAAAGCTGAGTTAAGTGTTCCTGTACACTGAACTCCTGGAGCCTCTGATACATGTTTATAGTCTTTTTAAGGGATCTTCATTTAATACTTAAATGAAGTTAAAAGTAACAACCTGCTCTAGAAAATTGATTGTAGTTCACAATACAGATCCAAGCCAATAATAATATAATAATGTTTTGTACTTAAACAGTGGCACTTTTTATCCATAGATCTCAAAGTGTTTTCTAAAAGTGGGTGAGTATAGTGCTCCTCATTTTCCAAGATAGGGAATCTGAGTAAAAAAGAGCTTAAGTGACTTGCCCAAAGGGTCACAGATGGGAATAGAAACCAGGGGCTAGATTCACAAAAGGACTTACACACCTAACCGTCCCAGGACAAGGCATGAATTGGGGGCAGATAGGCATTCCTCTGCCTAACTTGCTTAGGGGGCCTGATCTGGTAAGCATGCTGAGAGCTTACCTACTGAATTGGGCCCCTCTAAACAAGCTGATACAAAATGGCCAGGCAAGGTGGGGAGAGGGACCTCCCTTATAACTTTTAGGCCAGTGGTTATTAGGGCACTCACCTGGGATGTGGGAAATCTCTTGCTCAAGTCCCCATTCCACCTGGGGGGAGGGAGAGGAAAGGGATCTGAACAAGGATCTCTCACCTCTCACATGAGTGCACTAACCACTGGGCTATGGCATATTCTGATCTGGGGGCTCTCTCAGTCTCTCCAGTCAAAGCTGTTCCACTGTGACTAATTGAAAAAGTCATTGGGCCAGCGAGCAAGCAAGTGAGCATGAGACTGGAGCTGTAGCCTGGTGGTTAGCACACTCCTGTGGGAGACCCAGGGTCCAGTCCCCTGGTTCCAATGACTTTTTAAATTATTTATCCACAGGGGAGCAGCTTCAGCAAGAGAGAATGAGGGAGCCCCACATCAGAATATCCTGTAGCCCAGTGACTAGTGCACTCACCTTGAAGGTGGAAGAGCCCTGATCAACTCCCTTCTCCCCCTCAGGGGAAGAGGGGAGTAGAGCCAGATGTCTCCCACATCTCAGGTGAATAACCTGAGCACTGGGCTAAGAGTTTGAAGAGAGGTTGTCATCATTGTCCTCTTGCCCCCTGGGCTTCTTGCTAAAACAGCATAGATGCCCAACACCTAGAGAGGGTTTGCAGCTGAGAATCCCAAACAGAGATGGGCACCTCTCTGCAGCCTGAACCTAGCCGCTAGCTCTGAGAAGGGGGCAGGATTTAGCACACACCCCTTTGCTTGTCATCTCCCCGCCTAGTGTGCTGGCTTTTGTGGATCCCATTTGCAGGCTCCTGTCTCTCCCCATTCATTGCATAGGAGCCGAGCTCAGGCTTTGTTAAACCCAGTGATTTTCCACAAGCCTAAAAGTGAGGTGTAGGGACGCTCAGAGTTGTGACACCTACATTTCTTTGTGAATCTAGCCCTTGATCTCCTCACATTGAATCCCATGCCAGAACTCGCTTGATAGACATCACAACGCTGTGGTTCCTCTAGTAATGTAGTTCTTCAATCAGATAGGTTAGTAATTATTTTGGTCTGACACTGTTCCATATGCCAGGTTTCAGAGTAGCAGCCGTGTTAGTCTGTATCCGCAAAAAGAACAGGAGTACTTGTGGCACCTTAGAGACTAACAAATTTATTTGAGCATAAGCTTTCGTGGGCTACAGCCCACTTCATCCGATGCATAGAATGGAACAGTGAGAAGATATATATACATACAGAGAACATGAAAAGGTGGAAGTTGCCATACCAACACTAAGAGGCTAATTAATTAAGATGAGCTATTATCGGCAGGAGACTGAAAGGTGGTAGTTTTGCAACAGAAAAGCTTCAAAAACAGACTCCAACGAGAAACTGCTGAACTTGAATTAATATGCAATCTAGATACCATTAACTTTGGCTTGAATAGAGACTGGGAGTGGCTGGGTCATTACACAAATTGAATCTATTTCCCCATGTTAAGTATCCTTACACCTTTTTGTCAACTGTCTGAAATGGGCCATCTTGATTATCACTACAAAACATTTTTTTCTCCTGTTGATAATAGCTCCTCTTCCACCTTTTCATGTTCTCTGTATGTGTATATATATTTATCTTCTCACTGTATGTTCCATTCTATGCATTTGATGAAGTGGGCTGTAGCCCACGAAAGCTTACGCTCAAATAAATTTGTTAGTCTCTAAGGTGCCATAAGTACTCCTGTTCTTTTTGTTCCATATGCATAAACCCTACTTTATCTTCATGTTTTCAAGAATAACGCTACTGCTGATATCAATAACTGAGAGTTCTGGGCACAGG